ATCATATTTTTTTTTTATTCTTATTCTTTTATGAAGTTAGTTAAAAATTAATGAACAAGAAATTAAAGAGACTGCGCTGCAATTAAGTTAGAATATTCTAACTGAAAAACAATTACTGTGAAACTATTTACATTCTCATAGAATTATAAACATTTCTCAAGGAATACTTTACAGCACAACTTTTTTTTTTCATACAGAAGAAATCATTCCAAAGCAATTGATATTGAGACGTTTTCACATGGCCAACATAATATCATAAGAGCATACATATACATAACTAAAAGTTACTTGACAAACAGCAAAGCCAGACAGGCAATACCTTCAGTCGAGTTGTTGGCTAGGATAGATAAAGGCTCTTCCAGGCACACACTTTTAATCCCAGCACTCAGGAGGCAGAGATAGGTGGATTTTTGTGAGATGGAGGCCAGCCTGGTCTACATAGGGAGTTCTAAGCCAGCTGGGGCTACAGAGAGACCCTGTCTCCAAAAGACCAAAAACAACAACAAAAGAACAAAAAAGTAATATTCATCTGTTTATGTCTGGAGATGCTAGAGTATTTTCATTCACAGATGGGTATATAGAAGCCAGCAGTATGTAAACTCACTGGTTGGTAAACAACTTTTAAATGATATATTATCAAAAAAAATCCTCTATAAATGGTGATTATTTTAATGGGGTAATTGACTAAAGTGTTGTAAGAGATACCAGTGGTATGTAAAAAGATTTGATAAACTAAAGCCACTAAGATTTTTGCCTGTTTCAGAAAGACTTATAAATGAACTCACTGTGGTTCAGATAAATTCACTAGTTTGAAGTTTTGTTGCTGTGCATGCTATATTCCATCTTTCACAACCTATAAACATTTTAAACCATTAGGTCATTTATTCCTCTCATGACTCCCATGAAGACAGTTGGTAGTGATCTTACTATCCAGTAAGGAAACTGAAGCTCTAGGAGTAAGTGATCTGAGGTGGTTTTTCTGAGTAGCTGAGCTAGTGCTGTGTGGAGCCCATGCCTGCCCTTGCTGGGATTGAGCTCCTTCTCTGCTATGTGTTTGGATCACTTTTCCATATTCGAGAAAACTTGATAATGGCTTCTGTAGCTTTTGCTTTGGGGTTTATTAGACAATCATCATACTTGGAGTTTTCCTCTGCAGTGGGAGAATAAGACAATTAGGATGATGAGAAGGGGCTTGCTGATTAGAGTTGGGGTTGGACTAAGGTCGCTTTTAAAAAGCAGACAATTATAAGGAGTTAAAGAGCGTACTATGGGGCATCAACTTCAAAAAACAAGTGGCTGGGGGCTGGTGAGATGACTCAGCAGGTGAGGGTGCTTGCTGCCAAGCCTGATGACCCAGTTTCAGTTCCAGGACCCGCATGGTGCAGGGAAAGAACCAATTCCCACAGTTGTCCTTACCTCTGCATGCACCCACATATGCAGGTACAACAAACAGGTAGTTTACTAAGCAGTCTCTGGTATTGGGGAGGAGAGTGGGATAGTGGGGGCAAATGAGCTGCAGAAGATATAGACAAGTTTAAACCTTGGCTCGACTGTGTTCTCCTTGCTGTGGTGCTCTGGGCATATCCTTTTCGCTTAACCTTCATTTTTTCACCTCAGTAAAGGACAGGAAGAGTTGTTAGGAATATGCCTATCATAGAGGATTGTTAGGAGCATTAATTGACCAAGATAATTTTAAAACCTCAGCAAAGTCCCTGACTCTGTAGATGTTGTTTGGGCCTAGAGGTTCGGTTTCAGCTATGCCTCTTTGAATGGCGGAAGCCTGACACTTTCTTTTTCTTTTGTTCTTGTAGGGAATGACCATGGACAAAAGTGAGCTGGTACAGAAAGCCAAACTTGCTGAGCAGGCTGAGCGCTATGATGACATGGCCGCAGCCATGAAGGCAGTTACAGAGCAGGGACATGAACTCTCCAACGAAGAGAGAAATCTACTCTCTGTTGCCTACAAGAATGTGGTAGGTGCCCGTCGCTCTTCCTGGCGCGTCATCTCCAGCATTGAACAGAAGACAGAAAGGAATGAGAAGAAGCAGCAGATGGGCAAAGAATACCGTGAGAAGATCGAGGCCGAGCTCCAGGACATCTGCAACGACGTGCTGGTAAGGCTGGCTCTTCTGCTCTGAGCAGCGACCACTCATAGTGATGGGCTTCTAAATGTAAGCTCTCAAATAGCGAATGAGAACTGCTCAATTACTTAAAAGCTGAAAACTACTTGTGACCACTTTGTAAGCATATGATGTGATTTTTCTCACCCTTTCTTGATCAGAAGTTGCTCAAAACAATCGGGGGTCTTTTCCTTTTCCTTTCAAAAAGTCCTATGACAAACAGGAACAGTTAGCAAATTTAATCAATTTCTTTAGAAAGAGACCAGATAGACAGGATATTTATGATAGAAGCATTCACAAGTAAGCTGTTCTCTTTATTAGTCTCTGAAGTGATGTCTCCAGTAGAGAGGGAAGATCAGAGGCCTCTCCCCAGTCAGGCCCTCACAAAGTGTAGAAATCTGAATTTGAAGACGACACACATTTGTCAGAAGCAGCATATGCTCCAAAACCAATTTAAAGATGATTTGGGGCTTCTCTTCTATGTTCCCTCTATCCAAGAGTTTGAGGTTGGATGGGAGGGATTCCTATCATAGGCTAAATCATAATCATACTGTCTCTCCCTCACATCCTGAGCCCACTGAGAATTTTCTCTTCTAGATGAAATTAGGTAGAAATGAATTTTGAGGGATACTTTGAAAAGAAAAGGAATTCACATTGTAGATCTACTTTCTCCCCTGCTGTCTTCTTTCCAAATTACTACCTTTGGCCCCTTTCTTTTCAAAACTAGTGCAAAGCTTGTCAGCCATCAGGCAGCACCCCTCGTCCCTATATATACATAGCATCCCTAACCTATATATGTTAAAACAGCTACTGCCTCTCACATTGATTTATTAAATCCCCTATAGCTAACTTTGCATTGAGCTTCTTTCTTTATTGGACTCACAGTATAACATAAGAGTGTCATGGCTAAACTTGTTGCCTATTGATCATTTGGGGGTTTGTTAATGGTGCGCTAATTCCTGAATGTTAGGTACATCTGGTATTCAGATGAAGTATGGCATGCATTCCAAAGGCAAGAAAGTTCCGTAATTCCTGAAATATAGACCAGCTTTTCAGAGCATCTGAAAGAATGTGAAGAGGAGCATGGTCCTCACTGCCTCTTAACCAGGTTTTCAGGATGCCACATTCTAAAACAACTCTTCGAAAATATTGCTCTGTATACGAAGCTTGGACTCCTTCAGAACTACTTTTGTTGTAAGCATAAACGTTTAAAGGAATTTGTTATTAATAATAGTACTAGACTCTTCTAGTGCTTACTACGTGCCAGGCAATGCGTAAAGCACTTTATGTACACTATCTCACTTGTTTCTGTAACTACAGTAGGAGGTGGCCATTCTCATCCCCTTCCCCTCATTGTACAGCCAAGGGGTCTGAGGCTTGGGGGCATAAGGCAGTGTGTCGGGTTCATATGGAAACAGATAGCAAGCAACAGAAGAGGGTTTTCTTCCTAGGTTGGATTAATTTTAAGCTTAGTTCTTGGCAGTTTTGTTCTGTAACTGATTTTTATAATTTAAATGGGATTTAGGAGAGATTGTTTTAAGAGATGGAGCAGAAGAATTATAAAGTAAAAGTCACTAATCCAACTACCCAGAAAACTATTGTAACATCACGCTACAGTCATTCCTCTGTGTACTGTGTGCATGCAACTATGCATATTTAGTATTCAAGTGGGATTCTTTTGTGTATGATCTTTTTTCACTTAGATGTCTTGAGAGCCTTTTGCTGTTATCAGTGGTTCTGCGCCATCATTATTGTACAGCATTCCATTGTAACAGCCGTGTTATGACCAACACCCGATGGAAGGGCGAGGGGACTGAACTGAAGAACACAGGCATCTGTGATAGGGCTAAGCAATATTTAGCTGCTTGTATTTGATTTTGATTTCTTTTTCCTTCAGAAAAATTAGTAGTGTTAGTGCATATCTTTAATCTCAGACATATCCCAAATATAATTTTAATATGTTACAAGCAATTAAAAATTCTTAACAATGTGAATCATTTTTTAGGAGCTGTTGGACAAGTATCTTATTCCCAATGCTACACAACCAGAAAGTAAGGTGTTCTACTTAAAAATGAAAGGAGACTATTTCAGGTATCTCTCTGAGGTGGCATCTGGAGATAATAAACAAAGTAAGTAACATAAAAAAACATGACCAGTAGGAGAGCCAGTCTTCCTTCAGAAAGACTTGAGCAGTCAAAGTCACTTAAGATTTCAGTAATCAGAATGTCAAAGACCACAGCATTGTCGTGAATGGGGTCAGGAGGATCTACATGTCATTATGTATCTAAGAGACAGACATGAAGGGCATTAGAAACGTGGTGTGCAGTGTATTTGAAGAACTCTGGGAATTGGTAGCTCTCTTTTGGAGGCTAAACTTTAAAATATGGTAGTCTTCTGTATCTATAATTCTGCTTTACCCAGTTTTAGTTACTTATGGTCAACTGCAGTCTGAAAATATTAAATAGAAAATTCCAAAAATAAATGATTCATAAATTTTACAGTGTAGTGTTCAGAGAAATGAGATGGAAAGACATGCTGTCCTCCTCAGAAGAATCCTCTCCTTGTCCAGGTGTCTGCCCTGCATGTGCTGTCTCTTGTTACTCACTTAGCTGCCATCTTGGTTATTGGATTGACTAGTGTGGCAATGGTTGTGTTCAGTAACTCTTTACTTACTGATTCCAAAGCACAGACTTGGATTGCTGTTAGACTTATTCTGTTAATCCCCTGTGCTAGCTTTAGCTAAGTGTATCTTGAGTGGGGGTGGGGGGGAATAGCGTGTGGGTTGCAGTACTGTTGGTGGTTGTCTTGGAACATCCACCTCTCAGGTAAGGAGACCGCTGTAGTGATGCACTTACATCACCACATGGCTTATTGTGATGGTGATGCTTAGAACTGCTTTATTAGTGCCCACTATGTGACAAATGATTGGGGGAGTATGGGCGAGGTGGGAGTCTCCCATTTTTCCAGTAAGGAAATCAAAGCTTGTGTATAGAAGTTTTTCTTACTCCAAGCCACATACCTAGTATGAATGAGTTGAGAATTCAAGTTTGGTTATGCTGACTTTAAACTCCATTACTTTCCACTAGCATATATTGTCCATATTCTATCTTGCTAAAGGTTACGTCTGTATTTCTTGGCTGCCTTAGTGGACTTTGATATAATTGTTTTCCTCCAAAGCATTTAATGTAGTACTTAGCATAAACGTGTAACAAATGGTGAGTGGTGGAGCCAGTGACTCTTTGTTTTGATGACTCTCTTACTTTAGCCTAGTTTACTAAAGTCATACGATAGTGGATCGTGTGTGATGCAGCCTGTGAAAGAAGCTAGCCTCTAATATTTTTCATCTTCTTTCTAGCCACTGTGTCGAACTCCCAGCAGGCTTACCAAGAAGCGTTTGAAATTAGTAAGAAAGAAATGCAGCCTACACACCCAATTCGGCTTGGCCTGGCACTGAATTTCTCAGTCTTTTACTATGAGATTCTAAACTCTCCAGAAAAGGCCTGCAGCCTAGCAAAAACGGTGAGAAAGGATCCTTGGTTTCTGATCATGCTTTGCTAGTTCTGAGAACTTCCTTTGATTTATGAGCATTCTCACCATCTTGGACTTTGAAAGGATTTTCTAGAGGTGGAATTTTAGGGAATTAATACAGACTTGGTGATTTCTTCTGAACACCTACCCGACTTTGGGGTTTAGTTGTTGTCACCTTTGTACCAGGGTAGGACACTGTGAAAGAAGTCAGACCATCTTCTACTTGCTGTATTAGGTTTTACCTTCTTGGGGGTTGGGCTTTATTCCTGTGCACACTTACTTGATTCTTTTTAATTTGAAAAAAGTGCCTGAAAAGAACTCTGAAAGTCATTTCCCTGAATCAGTCTGGCTTGATGAAGGGAGCTTTGCTGTTTTCTCTTTTGTCTTTTTTTAATATATTTTTTAAAATTATTTTTCTTTTATGTGTATGAGTATATTGCCTGCATGTATGTGAGTACACCCATGTCGTGCAATACCACAGACATTAGAAGAGAGCATCAGCCTTCTTAATTTACTTTTATTTACTTAATTTTACTTTTACTCCAGCCCCCTTAATTACTTAATACTTTTATGTGTATGAGTGTTTTCCTTGCATATGTATAAGTGCACCATGTATGTGCAGTGCCCACAGAGTCCAGAAGAGGGCGTCAGATCCCCTGGAACTGGAATTACAGATAGTGTGAGCTGCTGGAAGAGCCCCCGTCCTCTATAAAAGCAGCAAGTGCTCTTAACCACAGAGCCATCTTTCCAGCCCCCAAAGGTGTCTTTGAAGTAATCTTTTTTTTCTTTTTTTTTTTTTTTTTTTTTTTTTTTTTCTCTGAGACAGGGTCTCCCTGTAGCCCGAGCTGTCCTAGAACTCACTATGTAGACCAGGCTGGCATTGAACTCACAGAGATACACCTGCCTCTGCCTCCCGAGTGCTGGGACTACAGGTGTGCGCCACCACGCCTGGCTGAAGTAATCTTTTTAAAAAAAAAAAAAACTGATAAAGCCTCAACACAAAAGACAAATGAGAGAGGCTAGAGAGATGGCTCATGGCTCAGCAGTTAAGAGCACTGACTGCTCCTGCAGAGGACCCGGGTTTGAATTCCAGCACCCACATGGCGGTTAACAAGCACCCTAACTCCAGTTCCAGGGAATCCAACGCCCTCTTCTAGCCTCCTTGGGCATTGTATGGCATGGGTGCACTTACATACATACATGCAGGCATAACAGTAATATACATAAAATAAAACATTTTTTTAAGTAAATTTAAAAAAATTTCAAGGACATCTTTGATTAAAACTTAAGTGAATTTTCCTAGAATAAATGTGCTAAGGTTGGTTAGGTGATACTGTTTGCATGGTTAAAACTAAGTTTGAGTGTAAGGTTTTCATCACTGATGGTAGGTGCTTTGTAAACAGCCATTATGCATTTGAACGACTCAAGAAACAAGGTAATGATAGAGCAACAATACCCAAAATATGGAAGAATAGGCATTTGCTTAATAGCAGGAAAAATTGAATAAAGTAGCTTTAGAGAACTTGGAGACTTTGCTAAAGGCTCTTTGCTTTAGGCATTTGATGAAGCGATTGCGGAATTGGATACACTGAATGAAGAGTCTTACAAAGACAGCACCCTGATCATGCAGCTGCTTAGGGACAATCTCACTGTAAGTGCTTCTGGAGGGTTTGTTTCTCTTTGCTGTTCACCTACTTAATTCACTGTTATCCAGTATTTAAAAGGGGATTTGTGTTCGGATAAATAGTTTTACATTGTTAAGTTACTTAAGTATTACTGGTAAAGTTTTGGCCTTTGCAGTCATAATTGTGGTAATAAGGATGAATTTTAAATGCTTCAGTGAGGTAAAATACAGACTGGGCCACCTTTTTGAGGAAGTTTGTTAATGACTGTACTTTAATTACAGCTTTCCTTTTTTTCTGTTGCAGCTGTGGACATCAGAAAACCAGGGAGACGAAGGAGATGCTGGGGAGGGGGAGAACTAATTTCTATCGTGCTTTGTGATCTGTTTGGTGTCACTCTGTACCCTCCACATTATATCCCTTTGTGCGATTAAAAAAAAAAAAATTGAGCATTGACTTTCGATTTTTCACAGCCTCAACCTAGCAAAAATGCTCCCTGAGATAAACAGCTGGTACTTGTATCTAAAACTCAGACTGGTCATAATGTGCCACGGCATTCTGAAGTCTTGATTTTGATCAACATTGATAAGGATTACTGTGTGTTTAATTCTTTAAAACTGAACACTGTGATTATGGGGTTTTGTAACTTAGCAGAACTCTTCCTGGTGAGAAAAATAGACCTGGATTATGTGTAACTTTTTGGAAAGTTTAATCTGATATCAAAATAGTCACTGAAATACAATTCTGTTATAAAGTTGTACAGATCTGTTTCAGAGATAGTATTATGATGCTGGGACTTGGAGTGAGACACCATTTGGCATCTGAGTTTAATGGTAATTCACAGCAATTCTGCCTGTGGTTGAGGGCTTACAGACACTTGACCATTTGGAGCTGTTGCTACTCAAAAGTTCAAGACCACAAATGTCTACAAGTGCCGTCCTCTGGGAAAACAAAGTAAAATTCTTTGTGGCAGATAACTGAGCTGTGCTCATACAACATGTGTGACTAAAAACCCCCTTCCTCCAGCAGTGTGTGACTGACTGACTGCAGCTTGTGAAAGCAGAGGGCCTGTTGCCCCTAGCTGGAGGAGAAAGAAAAGGAGGCTGTGTGTCTTATGAATGGCCGTATTTGGTTTCTGGATAATACCTTTAAGATTAATGTTGTATAGAGGCAGCCTCTCACTTGAGGGGTGCTCAGTCTTTGGGTTCTTCCTAGCTTAGAGAATGTAAATTTCGAAATTGAACGTTCTTTCTGCCCTTACTGTTGTCTTTGGTTTTCTCTTCCCTCTGAACTAACAGTCTTCTACTCCCTTACATTCTTTTTTTTCGGAGACCTTTTGTCATCTGTTGGTTTTGCTGTGTGGGCTGTGGTAAGAATGTAAGCACATGGGTGAGCTCGCCTTGCCTCAGATGTTGAGAAGAGCTTCCTGTTCCATCTCCCTGTCTTCCTCAGTTCTCAGCACAGTTGATGGTCTTCATTCATACCATGAGTTGAATCAGAAAGTATTTTTAAGTATCTTAAGATTTTTCCCTGAATTGCAAGCAACCCTGATAATGCTTATTAGTGCCTGTCACAAGATCTCCCCCCTGTGCTTATCCAGTCCAGCTTCTAGATGTGTCTAAACAAGACCCTGTAACACAGGGACGTTACATGGACTCTACAACAGAGAGAAGCAGAAACAGCCAGGCCCGTCGGTCTCTCACTTCACCCTCTTTGACATTCTATGTAGTTGTAGAGTAGATCTGTTTGTCTACCTGCTGAAATGAGAAAAGAATTCATGCACTGATTTAAAACCAAAAGGAAAAAACACACAAAAAAAGTCCCTCCTTTTTAGCTGAACAAAAATGTGCAGTTAATACTTGGCGCTTGAAAATGCAGTAGTGAATGTGGAACTAAACCTGTCTGTGTGTCTGGTAGCTCTTTGCCTCGTTTTCCTTACCAGTGTTCTGCCTAAAGTTTGCTTCTGTGATGGTTCTGTTGCCCAGCAAGCACACTTGTGGTTGTGAAAATAATAGTATAGCGAGAAAAAAAGAAAAAAGAGGACTTCAGTTACAGATGTGCTGGATATGTGTCTTTCAGCAGCTCTGGTGTCACCTTACACAGAATAATCAGGAAAATGTAAAACTCAAAAGCGAAATAAAAGATTTTATCAGTTGTTTGTGGATTGATGTGTCCCCACCATCTCTAACAAAAATTATTCTGATCATTATTTATCTTAGACTCTACTGCAAACAGTTTTACTTCATCCTTTAGAACCAGAAGTGAAGATGTGTTTGTGTGGCCGCCTCTCGGGTTGGAAATAATCATTGCCATCTTGAGTCAGAGCGGCTGTGGTCATCTGTGCAAGATCCCCACCATAGTGGGCCTGTTTTTCTGTGGGTGCGGACACCGATGGCTGGCACTGCTGGTGGTATTGGCTGCCTGTAAGTGGTGCAGGGAATTTGCCAGTGCTGCAGCTGCCTTTGAATCACCTGTGCTCCTTCCTGTAAGAAACCCCAATAAAGCTTAACTGGTTTGCCAAACTGGACTTGGATGGAATCCTTTCTATAGTTGGTTAGTATCCTCCCTATCTGGGGTGAATAGATGTTTCTTTACATCCCTAGGCAAGTATCCTGTGATGCTTGGTTGCTGAGATAGACACCCAACAAAACCAAAGGTGAATGAGGAGCAGTTGGTGGCCTGTTTTGTGGGTGATGAGACGCTATGTCTCTGAGGAAGGTGCCTAGTGGTGACCCAGAGAACTGATGGACTGGAGAGCATGCTAGAATCCTGCCAGCATGGATGACTCAAGGGCTGGAGTGTGCTGTAGTAGCAGTTGCATGGTTCTTGACAGGTAATGACATGCAGCCAGAGCCGAGTGGTCTGCCCTGAAAGAGTCAGGGAGGAATTACAGTGAGAAAATATAGGTGCTGTCTGTTAGCCTCCAGCAAGAAAAATAGGAGGAGGTGGAGGCATTGGCTTGTTTTGTACAAATTTGATCTACGAGTCAAAAACTTGGAACCAATGGGAAGAATTGGACGTTGAGGAAGGAGAGAACAAGGTAGACAATAGATCTTCTCAGACCCAGCCTTTAATACAGAAGGGAAAAATCTATGATTTAGCATTCCTCAGTGACAGCCCAGTACAGGAAAATGGTAATGGAATATCCTGCCTCTGAATAACTTGCATTGGGAAAGATTTGAACAAGAAATGAAAGGTGTGGGGCTGAGAGCACTGGCTGCTCTTGCAGAGGACCTGGGTTCAGTTCCCAGCACCCACATAGTGGCTAACAGCTGTCTGTAACTCCAGTTCCAGGGGATCTGACAGCCTCTTCTGTCCCCTGCAGTCACTGTACTACACAGATGCACTTACATACGCACAGGCAATACACTCTTATGTCTAAAATAAAAAATAGTAAAAATATTACAAAAAATGAGATGGCGGCTGGAGAGATGGCTCAGCAGTTAACACTGGTTGTTCTTGCAGAAGACCTGGGTTCAAATCCTAGCACCCACATGTCAGCTAACAACGGTCCATAACTCCAGTTCCAGGGGATGTAACAGCCTCTTCTGTCCTTTGTGGGCATTGCATGACTTGGATGCACTTACCTTCATGTAAGCAATACATGCATATACTTAAAAAAAAGAACTGCTGAGATGGATGACTTAAGTAAAAAGAAAACAGCCCTGAAAACCTGAGTCTGGTCCCTTAGGACCCAGCCCACATAGTAAAAGGAGAGAGCATTTCCCTCCCACAAGTTGTCCTCTGTTCACACCATGGCATTTGTACACCCACACACAAAAGAAAAACATTTTAAAAATGAAACAGGATCTGGAGAGATGACTCAGCAGTTAAAAGTACTAGCTGCTCTTGCAGAGGACCTGTGTTCAATTCCCAGCAGCCACATGGCTGCTAACAATTCCTAACTCCAGTTCCAAGGGATCTGGCTCCCTCTTATGACCTCTGTGGGCATTGCACTTACATATAAATGAAAAAATTGAAGGACCCTTTTGTGAGGGTGTGGGACGTGGGGACAGATGGGATGGATGACCAGAGCCCCTGGAATTCAGAGAAATGTCTCTCCTTGAGATAAAGCCTGAATCCGAAGCAAGTGGAAGAGAAATCAATCCCTGAGAGACCAGCCCGTGAATCATTGGGAATACATAGTTATTTCCTGCTGAGGTCTCCGTGAATATGAGGACCTGGAAGGCAATAAAGGGCAAGTATTACAGAGAACTGGGCCTGAAGGAAGTAGTGCTCGGTGCCCAGTTCACCAGCCAGATAAGACTTAACAGGCGTGTTAAGCAGTGAATGCAGGACTAGTGTGGGCCTTAAGGGGTTTTGCTGATCCTAGGAGTGGGATATGCTCTTCTCAAGGTAGAGGGGCTGGCAGAGCTGGATGATTTAGACCATCATGTAAACAGGGTTAATGAGGTACTAAGGCACTCCGAAGGGGTTGAAAAAAAATGGAGCCTGTGGTCACTCAAGCAAAACACAGCAAGATTTGTATTGAATCAGTTGTATATACAGGAAAAAAAAAATTGGAAGCCAAATGCAGTGCTTGTAAGTCTTTGGAAGGCTGTAAAGGCCAAGCAATAGTTCACAGAATGTGTAAGTGATGGTGTATGTGTCAGATGAAGGTGTTAAAGACCATTCCCACAACACCCCTGCTGTGGAGGAAGATCTGGGATGGGAATCACCCCAGCCCTCCCTCGGAGTGACGAAGATTAAAATGAGGAATTAGAGGACCCATGAGTTGCAGATCATTTGTTGGGCTTTGGTAGATATTGGAGCCAAACGTGCCTTCATGGCAACCCCAAAAAGCACCAAGAACAGTGAGCAGCTGTGTCCTCTGGGTGGGTATGCTGTTTCCTAGCCAGAAAAGATACCAAGGGCATGTGTGCTGTTAGGACACTGCATACCACCTTTGGGAAGTTTCCACGGGGTGTGAACTCAGGGCAGTTGTGCATGATTGGGTGAGATGGGAGCTGTAAGTTGTCTACAACCCCCCTCCCCCCCACCCCTGCCAAGCCCTGGGAATAGGGTAGTAAATACCAAACAATACAGGCTGCCAGAAGCTGTAACAAAATTACAGACCATGAACAGTTTTTAAAAGATTATTCACCCATCTCGAAGCCCTTTCAACAGCCCAGTGTGGCCAGGAAAGCTAGATGGACAGTGAGATGGCTCAGGTGGTGGAAGCACTTCCTGCCAGCCAATTCTGATGTCCTGAGTATGATCCTCGGGGCTCACATGGTGGAAGGATAGAGCTGACTCCTGCAGGTCATCCTCTGACCTCTACAATGGCATATCGTGGTGCATGCACACAGAACAATTTTTTTTTTAATTTGAAAAGAGCCAGATGGCTCCTGGAGAATAACTAGATTGTAGAGAGCCGAGTAGAATAGTGCCCCATCCATGCTGCTGTCCCCAGCATTAGTCTATCAGTCTCCCCTTGCCAGTACTTTCCTTTAGTATTTCCTTAGCTGGCAGATCCAAGACCAGCTCTCATCCACCAGGAACAGACAGAAGGCCTTTGAGCACTTCCTCAAGGTTACCTTCATAGTCCCACTGTTAGGGGATTGTTAGCCACTAAAGAAGACAGGCACCTTCAAGGACATAATCCTGGACTAATTTATCTTTGAAGTGTTAACGTTCTTTATTATTTTTATATTATGTGTATGAGTGTATTGCCTGCATGGAAGTGCACTCATGTCGTGCAATGTCCACAGAGGTCAGAAGACAGCGTCGGATTCCCTAGAACTGGAGTTACAGATGGTTGTGGGTGCTGGGAATCAAACCCAGGTCCTCTGCAAGAGCAGTCAGTGCTCTTATCCTCTGAGCCATCTCTCCAGCCCCCATCACTTTAATCTTAAACCTATGTTGTAATATCTTATTACCTCAGTGTACTTCAGAGTGAGCCAGTATATGAATAGTTCCAGGTTCCTTGAATAAAATCTCTATGCTTCCTTCATCCAGGGAAGGCATTGCTTTGGAGATCGCTCTCCTCTGCTGCAGGTAGTCAATTTTTTCTCCATCCCCCTGCCCCACCATCTTGTCTATGGCTCATTTTGGCTTTGCCAAAACATCAGGATGTTAGCCCAGTGTTCAGTCACAGCATGGTGGCCCAGGACCTTGCTTTGCCATGTTACTCACCCTCTGCAAAAAGGCTTCCTTGGGACTGGAGAGATGGCTCAGCAGTTAAGAGCACTGGCTGCTCTTGCAGAGGGACCCAAGTTCAGTTCCCAGCACCCACATGGCAGCTAACAACCACAACCATCTGTAGATGCAGTTCCAGGGGATCCAGTGCCCTCTTCTGACCTCTACAGGCATTGCATGACAGAGATGCATGTACATGCAGGCAATACACTCACAAGCATAAAAAAAAAATTTTAACGGCTTCCTTTCACACATAATATAATGCTAGCCTCCTACTGCCTTACAGATTTAGAAAAGCATCTGGAAGATGTGTAAATGCACCTAAAGGAAAGAATGGACATTAATCTGTACAAGGTTGAAAGGGCTGGGCACAACTGAAGAATTCTTGAAAATTTTATGTTAGAGAGACACATGATCTCTGACAATATTATTGATCAAATTCTACAGTATCTCCTGGACGTGACAGAACTGTTGCCCTCATGAATTCATAGCATCTGTGGTTGTCTGCACAAGATCAAGCCAGTGAATATTCTAGCATGGAGCGGGGAGGGTCATATGAGCCCCTACCCCTAGCTGAGGAGCTATTGACAGATGTTGGCAACAAGGAGAGACTTAGGGGTGTAGCTCCTGGTAGGCTGACCATCTGTCAGTAGATGGACCCACAGCCATGCATGTATGGGCAACACTAACTGGATTCAGTGGGTAAGTTTTAAAAAGGGGGGAGGACATGAGGTCAGAAGGGAGATGGGAGATGTGGAGGGGGTCCTGGAGGAGTTAGAGTGAGGAATGAGGGTGAATATGATTGAACTACCTACATTAAATGTATGTATATATCAAATAATATTAAATTAAAAATAAAATTAACACTACAATAGCCTGTGTCTGAATATAAAAGTTGCTGGTGTTTGAGGGGTGGACTTTGGGGTACTGATTCATTTTCACAGCCTACTGTGGTGGTTTGAATGAGAAATGTCCCCCATATGCTCAAGTATTTGAACACTCGGTCCCCAGTTGGTGATGCTGTTTGGAGAAGTTTAGGAAGTTCAGCCCTGCTGGGGGAAGTACGTCATCTGATGTGGCTTTGAGAGTTTGTAGCCTTGCCCCATTTCAGGTTGCTCTCTGCTTCCTGTGTTCAGTTGAAGATGTGCATGCTCAGCTTTGGCTTCTGCCTCCATGCCCACCACCTGCTGCCATGCCTCCGCACCATGATGGACTCTCCTTCTGGAAGCATAAGCCTAAATAGACTCTTCCAGAAATTGCTTTTGGTCATGGCGTTTTATCACTGCAGCAAAAAAGCATCTAATGCAACTAACCTTTTTATTCTTTGTATAACTCAATAAGAGGGGGAAGGTGTTCTGTGTGGAATGTTGATTAAAAGGCTCAAGAGGCTTTTTGTTGCTGCTGCTGTTTTTTGTTGTTGTTTTGAGACAGGCTCCCACTGTGTAGATCTGACTGGCCTGGAACTCATGATGTAGACCAGGCTGGCTTCAAACTCTCAATGACCTGCCTGCTTCTGCCTCCCAAAGTTTTGACATTAAAGGCGTGGGCTACCACACTCGACCTCGAGTGTTTTTGTTTTGTTTTGTCTTTTATTGAGGTAGGGTTTCCCTGCAGCCCTAGCAGGCTAGGAACTTGCTATGGAGACCAGACTGGCCTTGATTTCACAGATATTTACCCGCCTCTGCTTCTCAAGTGCTGGGATTAATGGCATGTGCCACCACGACCTGGCTGCTTTTTGGTTTTTGATTTTTTTTTAATGTTATAAGTATTATGCCTATATGTAAGTGCACCATGTGCATGCAGTGCCCAAAGAGGGCATTAGATGCCCCTGGAACTGGAGTTACATATGGTCGTGAGCCACATGTGGGTGCTGGGAACCAAATCTGGTCCTCTGCAAGAGCAGCCAGTGCTCTTAACTACTGAGCCATTTCTCCAGCCCATCAAGACACTTTTGAAGAAGCTACGGAAGGCCGCAGCTGAGGGCTGTGGCAGAAACAAGATGAGCAAACAGTCCCAGTAGGGCTTGGGTCCTAATCATGAAAAGGAGCAGCACTTTGGTGTGCAGCACTGGAACTGCAAGTCCCAACCATATACAAAACATTGCAACATCCATCATTGGTCCCACCTCTGTAACAAATAAAGGAATGAATTGAAGGCCTTCTGGCCAAACCTCTTTCTGGAGTGGCACAGAATCCACCTTTGCAAAAGTGGCACACATGTTTACAATATTCTGTGGTGTCTGCAAATGTTGTCACCAGTGTCCTTTTGAGTCACTGAGCCTCCCCTAATAATTGAACCAACAGTCAAACTGGACAAGGTACTGGAAGGGATGCTGCCCATCCCTCCCTGTAGATGCTTGGTAGAAGTAAGATGGTGACCCAAGTAAGAGTACAGCCAGAAATGGCGGCACTGGCAATACAAACGAGCACAGACACCTGTGACTAGGGAGGAGGGAAGGAGTATCCAGGGCGCTGAGTGCACAACAGTGTGGATGGTAGCACTCTGGATGGTAGCAATCTGGTTATAGTCAGACGCTTGACTATGGATGGCTCAACTGGACAGGGAGAACTGGCAGGAACTGGGTCAGCCTCTGGGAAACAACAGAATCTGGAAGGAGCTACATAATAGAGTTAAGGAGGAATCTCAGCCCTTGTGTGGTTGCCCAAGGGTCCGAACTGTCACATGCAATCTTTAGTCCCTCTCGAGACACAGAACTGGTTTGTATCCTCAGTGCAGAAGGGTGGGACTGGACCTGGATGTTCTGAGCAAAAGCTTTCTTGGGGGCAAGATAAAATTCTGTTCGTGTTTTGTCTGTGTCCCTTTCCCTGTGCCTACAGGTGGCTGTACACACATGTGGATGTCAGAGGTCTACCGTTTCCCACCTACTTCCTCAGTCTCACACTGAACCTGAAGCTCACAGTTTTGGTCAGACTTGCAGGTCAACAAGCCCAGAGACTGCCTGTCTCCACCTCTCCAGCTCTGGGGTACCTGTGCCCACCACCATACCTGGCTTTTATATGGGTGTTGGGGAGCTGAACCGGGTCCTCATGCTTTCACTCAGGAGGCACTTTACCCATTGATCCATGTCCCTAGCCCCCGAATTCATTCCAAAAAAACCTTGAAACAGGTTATCTCAGAATTTTCCAGTACCAAAACAGCAGTCTCTTTGAATCATTCCCAAGACAGATTTGTCCCCATTTTACAGAAAGGGAAACAAACTGGAATCAGAAAGGCAACGAATGGCCTGGAGTTTGAACCTGCGCTGGGCGTCCCCTAACCGGCTGCACCCACATCTCAGCAGCCCTGCCCCAGGCCAGGCTGACTCCTCGCTTTCCTCCTGGGCAAGGTCTGAGATGCCTGCCACCTGCGCCCTTTCCCCGGCTGAAGGCTCCCAGGTGGATGGGGCTGGGCTCCCGGGATTGGCACGCAGTCCCGGGAGGAGCCGGTAAAGGGGAGGGACAGGCGCGGGCGGGGAGGCAGGCTGCAAGAGTCCTGGACCACCACATTCACCAGGCCCTGGAGCCCTGCGCTCTGGGGCAGCTCGGTGATCCATCATGAACTCCGGAGGCCAGGGCTGCGCGCTCTCCTCGCTCTACGTGGGCGATCTGCACCCTGATGTGACCGAAGCCATGCTGTATGAAATGTTCTCCCCCGTGGGCCCCATCCTTTCCATCCGTGTGTGCCGCGACGTGGCCACCCGGCGCTCGCTGGGCTATGCCTACATCAACTTCCAGCAGCCCGCTGACGGTGAGCCCAAGAGACCAAACCTTGCTGTCAATCTCATTGGGCAAAATAATTCCTTCTGATTACTATCATCCTACACTGGGAGTCTTATTTCAAATGAACCTCTATTACCTCAACAATTATGTCTTTTCCTGTCTTTTGATAGAAATGGGCCTGCAAGTAATGGTGGTTAACTTTTACTGCAGGTCCACAGAAGGGGAGACAGCACCAGTACCCGGCCACCTGGCTTCCATCTTCTGTTTCACAGTCAGGGAAACTGAGGCCCAAAGACAGGGAATTGGTTGGAGGCAGTCACTTAAGGGTGAACCCATGATTCCTGCCAGGTTTGTTGGTGTTGCTTGGCTTTGCAGAGAGAGATTAAGCCCAAGCGCAAACAACAGAACCGTTTTGGAATCAGGCAGACCTGGGTTAGAAACCCCAAAGCTATGCGACCTTGGGCAAGTTGCTCAACCATTCCTAGCTGAATTGTCTGTGTGGGAAAACTGGGGTCCTTCCTCCCTTCAAGTGTGGCTGAGAGTGTGAGAGATTGAAATCACCTGTTAAAGAAGTTGCCCAAGGCCTTGCAGCTGGAGAGTAAGGAACCTTGGGTTCCTGGCCTCAAGACCTCTGCACCAGGCGCCTGGCTTTCCTAGGCCCAGAGAAGTTGCCCCTCTAGGCTTTGTCCACCAGTCAGGACTGGAAGGATTGACGTCTGGACTTCTACTGAGAAAGAAGGACAAAGGTTGAGAACAATGGGTTTTGCTGGAGCTCTGCCCCACAGGGCCATCTTTGGCACTTCTTAATCTGTAAAGCAGGACAAGGCCTATTCCTGAATAGAGAAAAGAATGGAGAATTAGAGTCTCAGTACCAGAGGCACTGGAAGCACTCTTAAGTGACAGCCTAAGAATCCTTCCAGAAATGTAGCCAAGAGCTGCCTGGCTACTGGGGAGGCTGAGGTAGGAGCGTGAATTTGAGGTCAGCCTGGGCTACATATTGAGACTTTGCCTCAAAATTAAGACTTTTAGTTCAGGTTTCTTGGGTGTGGGAGGTTCCCTGAGTTAGGGGTTTGGTGTCCCGGTTAGGGCCACTTCCTGTCTCTTCATCTTCCTCTGAGCCTTTCTGCAAGCCTCTCTGTAAGGCCCCCGGAAGAAACAGGACCTGAACCCTTTGGCTCCAGCCTGTAGGAGATCTGGGCTGCATGTTAGCACTGGATGAAAAGCACAGGCTTCTGTGGCTTGTTTCACGGCACTTCTCGGCCCCCTCGGTGCACATGAAGCCAGAGAGTCCCCAAAGCAGAGAACAGCATACTATCTTGGACGAAGAGGCTATGTGGTAGGAGGGTGAACAGAAGCTGCTCTTTGGGGATACACTGGCATTTCCCGAACACCTATGTCCTGTGTAGCACAAAAATCAAAGGACTGCTTGTTTCCAATCTGCCTGAAAATCTAGCAGTAGCTGGCATTGTCTCAGTTAGGTTTGGAAAAGAACGTGCTATCATGTGCTTGCTTCACAGGTGGGGACGAGGGCTTGGTGAGAGAGTCACTTCACTTCCCTCCTTTGCATGTTCACCTATCCAGTGTGCTTTCAAGGCCACAACAGCCTGGCTCTGCCTTTCTGAGCCTCAGCTTTCCCAGCTCTAAAATGGGGATCCATTGTCATGTGATGACACTGGGTCTTCTGGACAGTTTGAGTTGTGTCATGTGCACTAACTCCCTCAGCTTAATCCACCTGTGCCTCCAGACGCCTATTTCAGGTGAGACCCAGACAATGGCCTGCCATGGAGATTCAGGGTCAGAAATTTCCCCTCACATATTTCTTTCCTTCCTTCTCCTGCCCAGCGGAACGGGCACTGGACACAATGAACTTTGAGATGATCAAAGGCCAGCCCATCCGCATCATGTGGTCCCATCGAGACCCAGGACTTCGAAAGTCTGGTATGGGCAACATCTTTATTAAGAACTTGGAAAATTCCATCGACAACAAAGCTTTATATGATACCTTCTCCACCTTCGGGAGCATCCTCTCTTCTAAGGTGGGTATGCCTCTCTGGGGGAGTCAGTGTCAAATACCTCTGTGGTAGTGGGATGCCAACCAGCCTCATTTCACAGGCTTCAGGTACAGCAAACACTTGACCAGTAGCTGTTCTTAGTTTATCTTCCTGCAGCTGTCAGAGGTTACCTGTGCACCCAGCAGTCAGTTCACGGCTGTCAACCCCACTGTTATTTAGTTTATAATTCTGCATTGGCAATTTGGGTTGAGCTCAGCTGGGGGTTCTTCTGGCCTTGGCTGGGTTCCCTCACATGCTATCTGAGCCTGGTGGGAACACTCGTGAGAGTGGCTGATCTTTCATGTCCTACGGAACATCTGGGATTTTCTCCATGTGGTCTTCTGTGCTCCAGCCACTCTCCCAGCTGTGACAGGTCCCAGAAGACAGAGTGAAAGTTCAGCAGGCTACCTGAGACTTCCACTCAGAACTGGGACCTGTTACTTCCACTGTTTTCTGTTGACCCTACCAAGTCATAAGACCAATGCACATTAAAGTGAGGGGACAGTGAAAAAACAGAATTGATGTATGGCTTACAGGAAAGCCATCATAGCAATCAGTCGGTCACATTTGGTTTGGGTTTTGTTTGGTGCTGGAGAAGGAGCCCACTCTACCATCCGGTACGCACTGAGCCATCCACCTAGTTCTTACATTTTCCCCCCAGAGTCTCAATACATGGCCCTAGCTGGCCTGGAAATTGTAATGTAGACCAGGCTGGCCTTGAACTCACAGAGATGTGCCTGAATGCTGTGATTACATCTTGTTTTTAAGATTTTCTTGCACTGGAACATAAATTCCTTCAGAGTGGTAATCCTGTTCGTAGTCACTGCTGTCTTTGTCTTCTTTTTGTGCTCAGTTTTCTGCATCAGTGACCACACTGAATTTCTGCCCATCATGACATGTGATAAGTACTCAGTGTACTAATAATATCATTTGAGCAGGGCTCTGATTTGTTCTCTGACCTGTGTAGGAGGATGTACAGGAGCAGAGGCCTTACAGCTGCAGGTCAGTGTGTGCTGACTAGAGGGATGAAGCCAGCCTGGTGTTGTCTCCTGAGTGTTAGGACTCATCAGATCCCCTGCAGTCTCTGGAGAGGAGACATACAGCAGAAATATAGCAGAGGTATAGAGCTTTTCCACAGTCCCTAAGCTCTCAGCTGAGCCTCCCACCGTCCCTGTGAATAGGGCTGTCTCTGGAGCTCAAAAGAATAGATTGAGACCGGAGGTGCAGTAATGTTCTAAGGGAGAGAGACAGGGCAGCTCCCTGTCTTTGAAGACCAGTGGAAGGAAGATCTTTTTTTCTGAGACAAAGTCTTACTGTGTAGCCCTTGCTGACCTGGAACTCACTATGTAGACCAGGCTGGCCTCAAACTCTGAGATCCACCTGTCTCTGCCTCCTGAATGCTTGGATTAAAGGCATGTGCCACTGTGCCTGGCTTCAGAATCAGGATTTTCCAGCTTAGTTTAGTCTTCTGGATCACTGAGCACTAGACAGAAAGCTCTAGGTGACACAGGTCTTTGCAGGCCTAATGAGGCTCTCTTGTTGGCCTGGTTAGGAACAAGGCTTACAATAAGGTCCCTAGACCCAGGAAGATCCCAACTGGTTGGAAATGGTCAGACTTAGGATGACTGGAAATTAGGCTCTTGAGGGAGGACTGGTTCTCATGTAGTTAGAGGACCCAGGAGGAGAGAGCCATTAGGCTAGTCAGGAAAGATTTCTGCGGTGCTGTATGAAGAACACATCATCTGAGTCCGGCCATGTGCAAAACCCAGGGCTCAGCAGCGAGGCAGCAGGAGGCAGTGAGTCAGACTGAGGTCTTTGAGGCTGGATGTTCTGGGCTCAAATCCTTCAACTTCCTGGCTATGTACCCTTAGGCCAGTTCATTAACCTGCCCATACCCCAAGTTCCTCTAATAGGGGGCAGTGGTAGAAGCTCCTTCATTGGCTTGTAGTGAGATGAACTGAGTTAAGTGTAGCCCATGAAGGGGTATCAGAACATGATGCATCTAAGTGATGAGTGCAATAAGTCTGGAGGGGTGTTCCTGCAGAGCATAACAAAGAAAGTACATGATATCCTTAGCAAGTGATGGACCCATAGCAAGTGATGGACCCAGAGGTGGGGCCCAGTCAACCTGGTTGAGTGTGAAAGTGCTGAGACTTGAGCTAAATCAAGATCAAGGGGGCCTGTTTGGGGCCGGGGAGGTAGAGGAGTATGTGATGGGCAAGGGTTTTAAAAGGTATTATGTGTTTGAGTGTATTGTCTGCATGTGTGTTAAGTGCATCCATGTCATGAAATGCCCATGGAGGTCAGAAGAGGGTGTTGGATCTCCTGGAGTTTGAGTATTTTTCTTCAGTTAAAAAAATGTATTTATGTGTATATGTGCGTCCTTGCTTGTCTGTATGTATACCTCGCATGTGCAGTGTCCAGAGGCCAGAAGAGGGCATACATATATATATATATATATATATATATAAATTAAATGAGGGCTGGAGAGATGGCTCAGTGGTTAAGAGCACTGGCTGCTCTTGCAGAGAACCCAGGTTCATATCCCAGCACCCACATGACAGCTAACACTGTTGGTAACTCCAGTTCCAGGAAATTCAACACCCTTTTCTGACCTCTGCAGGCATTGCACAACACGGGTGCACTTACCTACATCTACATACAAGCAATATACTCATGCATGAAATAAAAGTAATAAATTAAAAAAAAATTTTGTCTTTTTGAGACAGGGTCTCCCTGTAGCCCCAGCTGGCCTGGAACTTGCTATGTAGACCAGGCTGGCCTCGAACTCACAGAGACCCACCTGCCTGTGCTTCCCAAGTGCTGGGATTAAAGGCACGGCCTTAAATAAAAATTTTTTTTAAAGACTTGAAAATGCCTATTAAAAATTGAAATGAGGGACTGGAGAGACAGCTCAGTGGTTAAGATCACTAGCCACTCTTGCAGAGGACCCAGGTTTGAATACCCACACCCAGACAGTGGCTAACGACCATCCGTAACTCCAGTTTTAGGGGATCTGATACCCTCTTCTGATCTCTGTGGGTATTGCACAACACAAGTGCATTTATATACATGCAGGCAATACACTCATAGACACGAAGGAAAAATAATAAACAAAATATTAAAAAATTGAAATGAAGTGCTGCGTGGTGACACATGTCATACCTTTAATCCCAGCACTTGGGAGGCAGAAGCAGGCAGACCTCTGTGAATTTGACGCCAGCCTGTTCTACACAGCAAGTTCCAGGCCAGCAGGGGCTACAGGAAAACCCTGTCAAGGCAAAAAAAAAAAGAAATGAAATGAGTCTTTGCCCCAAGTGAATAAAGCATGTTGTTGAAATAATATATGAATTGGTAATATTTAAACATCATGTGAAGTGGAAGTGAAAATAAGGCTCTGTTTTTCCATCTCTAGTCCCAAGAAATTATCACGGTCAGCAACTTTGTGAACTGGGTAACACACCTATAATCCCTGCATTTGAGAAATTCAGGTAGGAAGATTCCAAGTTTGAAGGCAACCTGGGCTGCATAGCAAGATCCTGTCTCCAAACCCCTCCCCCAAACAAACAAAAACAGTTGTGTGTGTCTGTTTCAACCGCCCCCACCCCGCCCAGCAATCTTACAGATAGCTGTCAGCCTCATAATCTACCACATTCTCTTCAGCCTTGCACATACAGCAGACCAGGGCACTGTACTGTAGCTAACCAGCCTCCTCGGTGGATATTCACAGGGTTTCTAAGTTGCCATTAGAACCAGGAAGCTGGTATAGGGTTGAAATCCCAGGTTCATTCCTCCTTATACATAGCCACCTTGAGCAAGTAGAATGATCTCTCTGAACTCCAATTTCCCAACTCTAAAACTGTTGTGAGATATTCTCTCTCTCTCTCTCTCTCTCTCTCTCTCTCTCTCTCTGAAAACTAGAAAACTAGACCCTTTTATGTGCTTAGCAACTTGCCATCTTTCCCCCTCTGAACTCTAGTTGGATGGTCTGTTTGTCCTTCCTCCCAGGTGGTGTACAACGAGCATGGATCTCGGGGCTTCGGCTTTGTACATTTTGAGACCCATGAGGCTGCACAGAAGGCCATCAGTACCATGAATGGAATGCTGCTAAATGACCGGAAAGTGTGAGTGCCTGGGCCAGGGGGAGGGGCTGAGACCAAGGGGACAGGACCATCGCATCAACCAGGAATATTGCTTCTGCTATCTAGTGGGCACCGAGGGCTGGGCTGTTAATGTTCTTCTTCCAAGTATGACCTCAGGCCACTTCCTCAACCTCTCAGTGACTTTTTCCTCATGTAAAAATGGAGTTGATAGCTGTCTGTGGTGGTTTAAATGAGAATGTCCCCAATAAACTCCAAGTACATGGACATGTTGTCCCCAGTTGGTGACACTGTTTTGGGAGGTTTTAAAAGGTTCAGCCTTGCTGGAGGAAGCAAGTCACTGGGGGGAGGGCTTTGAGAATTCTTAAGCCTTGCCAGATTTCCAGTCCCTCTCTGCTTCCTGTGCCTGCTTGAAGATGTGATTGCTCGGCTTTCTGCTCCAGGCACCTGTGCCCGTACGCCTTGCCTGCCATTATTGATTCTTCCCCCTTTGGAACCGTATGCCAAGTAAACTCTTCCTTCTATACGTTTCCTTGGTCATGGTGTTTATCACAACAACAGAAAGTAACTAACACACTGTTCAAGGACCGTTAAGAAGGAATGGTAGAATTCTTTAGGGGTGGCCAAAACATCGGTGGACTTGGCGATTTCATCTGTTTTCAGTTTTCTTAATACGGCTGCAAGGTTTTTTTCTTAAACCCTGTGTGCTGTTTCATGGGATTTAGGAGCACAAAAAAAAGAAGGCATATGTCTTGCCTGCCCAAGTCTGCTATCATCCCCACTCCACAGAGGGGAAAGTTGCACTGCAGATCTGGAGAGAACCAGCTTCCGGCTGTTCCTTCCCTTCTGCCCATCTAATGACCCAGACACCTGGTCAGCTGTGGAGGAAAGGCAGGCCTTGTTTTCTTGAGACAGGGTCTCATGTACCCCAAGCTGGCCTTGAATTTACTGTGTTGCTGAGGATGACCTTGAACTCCCTGTCCTCCTGTTTCCACCTCCGAAGTGCTGGAACTAGAGATGTATGCTTCCATACCAAGATCCAAAATACCTTTGAGTTGCCAGGTGCACTGAGTTATTTGATCTGGAGTTTCTTGAAGAGCCCTGTTGACTCGTCCCTCTGATTTTTGCTGGGTTTTCCTGAATTTGCAGATGTCGTCCTTGTGCCCTTTAGCTCTTAGTGTCTGTTCCAAACTGCTTGGGATAAATGTGTTCCAGACCACCTGACTTTCTTACACTGTGTTTTGTTTTTATTTTTTACTTATTTTTTCACTGATTGCTTCTATTATATCATGTACAGGTTCCCTTAGCTTTTACAGGCTTCATTGCTTATATGTTTTGTTTTGATTTATTTTTATTTTATGTGTATGAGCTGCCTGCAGGTATACCTTACTGATTCCAGTAAGGTATAGTAGTGTGTGCCTGTAGTCCCAGCTGCTTTGGAAACCAAGGCAGGAGGATTATTTGAGCTCAGGAGTTCCAGGCCAGTCTAGGCAACACAGCAAGTTATCCCCCTTCCCTCAGATAAGAAACTATTTTCTTAGATGTGTTTATGTGAACTTAGAAATTCCAGACTTTTCCTTTCTTTCTGGCTTTTCTTTCTTTCCTTTTTTTCTTTGGGTTGAACTACGGTGTCACATATGCAAGGCAAACACTCTACTACCGAGTTATATCCCCAGCCCAAAACTTCTAGATTTTGAAATTCATGTTGTATTTAAATGATACCAGTTCATCTTCCCCACCCCAACCCTGGTGACCCTGGCATTGACCATGGCTAATTGGTTCACTTGTTTCTCTAGTACTCAGTGTTTGTTAAGCGAATAAGCACCGCCCCATGATATGAACCGAATCCTAGATTTGCAGGAATGAACCCCAAGGCTCAGAGAGCTTAAGTAACTTGCTTAGGATCACACTACTAGGCAACCGCAGAGTGAGGATTCAGGCTCTTGACTGGCTCCAAATTCGTGCTCGTTCCCCTGTGCTCTTAGCTGCCTGGTCTAGAGCACTTGTTCTGTGTGCATTTATCACAAGAACGAAATCTCTGTAACCTCGTGCAAGGGTCAAGCTCTGGAATGCATCTTCTTGCCTATTGAAAATAGCTGGACTTTGGACACAATCAGTCTGTAGAATATGGCCCTGCCTGGGTCCTGATGATGGATACAGAAGCTGAAGGAGGGTAGCAGTTGGCCCAAGTGACCCAGGGTCGCTGGGTAGACCCAGACTGGGATGGAGGGGTGCTGAGGCTGGTGGCCTCTACCCTGTTGATGTGTCCACAGCTTTGTTGGCCACTTCAAGTCTCGACAGAAGCGGGAAGCAGAGCTGGGGGCTCGGGCCCTGGGCTTCACCAACATCTATGTGAAGAACCTGCAAGTGGACATGGATGAACAGGGCCTGCAGGACCTCTTCTCCCAGTTTGGTGGGCATGTTCCCCAAAGGAGGAGGGGGATCACTGTTGTTCTCCTTCCATGCCCAGCTGGTGGGGAGGGCCTCCCTGGGGCTTCCTGAGGGCTTGTAAGAAGGGAGGAAATATCCCGGGCCTTCCCCCAACTCCTAGTTGAGCCAGCTTGGTCCTTCTCAGGGAAGATGCTGAGCGTGAAGGTGATGAGAGACAACTGTGGCCAGTCCCGGGGCTTTGGCTTTGTCAACTTTGAGAGGCATGAGGAAGCCCAGAAGGTAGGCGCTGCCCCATGGCTCTGCTCCTTAGTAGGCAGTACTGGGAAGCAGGACACTCAGGAGTGGGTCTCCAGCTACTCACAAGGCGGGGAGGGCAGAGGGCCCTGGGAGGGCAGCAAAAAGCCCCTTCCTCCCTGGGCCAAGAAAGTGGGAGAGTCCTCCACATAGGCAAGGCCCTTCTAGTCCATGATGTAAGGACTGAAGGCTTCATCTTTCCTTGTTGCTTCGAAGCCTTGAAGTTTAAAGAATTGAACATTTAGGCAGGGAAGCAAAAGTCCTCACTACATGTAAGTATTTACTAATGAACTGAACAGATTTCTTAAGAAATCTGTTCCCTTTAAATATTTCTCCCCACCCCAATATAAAATCCTAAACGCTGAGTTAGTATATATTTGGGTCTGACTTCTGCTTTCTGTGGCTAAGCTAATGAAAATTCAGTGCTACCAATGGATTACAGAGAGAACTTGCAAATCTGGCAAAACATGCAGTATTTTATGCCATCAAGCCTTAGATCTAATAGGTTTGGGCCAGTTAGGAAAAGAAAAATCAGGGAGTTAATATGCAAATGTTTCTAAGAATCTTATTTCTTTGTTTCTATCTTTATTTTATGTGTCTGAGTATTTTGCCTGCATGTATGTAAATGTACCCATTAGTGCAATGTTCCCAGAAGAGGGGGTTAGATCCCCTGGAACTGGAGTTACAGATGGATGTTAGCCACCATGTGGGTGCTGGGAACTGAACCCAGGTGTTCTGCAAGAGTAGCCAGTGCTCTTAACCTCTGAGTGATCGCTTCAGCCCCCTGCCCCCTTTTTTGAGACAGGGTCTCACTTTGTAGCCCTGGCCAGCCTGGAACTTGCTATGTGGAACAGGCTGTCCTCAAATTCACAGAGATCTGCCTGCCGCTGCCTTCCAAGTGCAGAAATTAAAGGCCCAGCCTGTTTCTAAAGATCTTTAATGAAAGCCCTCACAGTTAGCAAAAAGGACTGTTTCATGTTGTGAAATATAACATGAAGCATGGCAATTAGATTGTTGCGTCATTTTGAAAAAATGATGTTTGTTGCTTTGTTTGAATCATTCCTGGATGATGGCAATAAAAATATGAATTTGGGGCTGGAGAGATGGCTCAGCGGTTAAGAGCACTGACTGCTCTTGTAGAGGACCTGGGTTCAATTCCCAGCACCTACTTGGCAGCTAACAACTGTCCTAACTCCAGTTCCAGGGGACCTTCTTCTGACCTCCGTGGACATTGCATGATACGGGTGCAACCTACCTACATGCAGGCAATGCACTCATACACACAAATAAAAATAATAAAAATATATAATAGATAGAAGATCCATAATCAAAATTGAAGAATCTATCATTTATTCTGAGATCTTGTTCTGTGCTTTAAAAAAGTGATTGCACTTATAGATGAGAGGAATCTGACTAGACAGCAAGTGAATGGACTTTCACTGGGGAATGCCTGGGAGCACTTGACTTGACACAGTGGGCTTTAACACCCAGGACTGAGTATATGGGTTCCAGTGGGGGGCTATGGGAGGGTGCTGGTGGCCACGGGGATGTAGAGATGATTCAGATTGTTTGAGATATTATGTATGAAATACAACAAAATTTAATAAAAACAATTTTTTTTAAAGTGACTGCACTTTAAGTGGGCTTTTTGCTGGAGCTAACTATTCCCAGCTAGGAAGGCTGGCCTGCAGGTGTCCCCCCCTCAGCTGGAAGGCAGGGTTGGATACCAGGGCCACATGTGGATAGTCACCCTGCACACTCCCTTCTCCTCCCCAGGCTGTGGACCACATGAACGGGAAGGAGGTGAGTGGGCAGCTGCTGTATGTGGGCCGGGCCCAGAAGCGTGCAGAGCGGCAGGATGAGCTGAAGCGCAGGTTTGAGCAGATGAAACAGGACAGGCAGAACCGCTACCAGGTGAGGCCAGGCCCGGGGCAGCTGCAGCTTCTGTCTGAAGGTGGCTGTATGTCCGGGGCCCTGAATGGACTCCTTCCTCCAGCTCCCTATTTCTAGGAACTTGACTCAGGGCAGGAATCAGATGAGCACTGGAGTGAATTCCACTGCCTCACTCATAACAGAGGAGAAGTGGGATGTAATCAGACCATAAGGGCTAGTTGGGGTGCTGTTGACCTCTCAGAATAATTCTTTGTGTAGAAACTGGGTGGCACCCCTTGCCCTGCATCTTCCAGTCACGAACAACCAGAATACCCTGCATTTTTCCAAATACCCACAGAGGACATCCTACCCTCGGTTGAGATATGTCACATCCAGAAGTTGGAATGTTGTACAGTCATCAAAATTACATTAAGCTGGGACTTGGGAGGCAGCTCAGTGGGTAAAGTGCATGTTGAACAAGCCAGAGGACCTGTGCTTGATCCCCATCACTCACATATAAGCCAGGTATGGCAGTGCACACTTAAAATCCCAGCTCTTGGGAGGCAGAGACAGGTGGATCCTGAGGACTTGCTGACCCACCAGCATAGCCTAACTGCTGAGCCCAAAGCCCCAGTCTTGAAAAACGAGGTAGAGAGTGATTGAGGAAACATCCAACACCAACCTCCAGCCTCTACATGTGCACCCACACACATAAACAAATTACAGTAAGTTGGGACTGGAGAGATGGCTCAGCAGTTAAAAGCACTGGCTGCTCTTGCAGAGGATCTGGGTTCTGTTCCAAGAACCCACATAGTAGCTCATGACTGTCTTTAACTCTTGTTTCGGGGGATCTGACACCTTCTTTTGGCCTTCATAGGCATTGCATAACATGACTGCACTTATATAACGCAGGCATAACACTCATATACATAAAAGAAAGTAAATAAATAAAAATTTTAAATTACAGTAAGTTATTTTTTGTTTTTGACACAGTCTCACTACATAGTTCTGTTGACCTGGAACTCACTATGTAGACAAGGCTGACCTTGAACTTGCCATGATCCTCCTGTCTCTGCCACCCAAGTGCTAGGATCATAGTTATAAGCCACCACACACCACAACTTAATCAATTAAAATTAATATTGTAGATCAGTACAATATAGCCTTCTTTTTGGAAATTAACCCCTCTAAATTATTTAACAAAAATTTAGATTTTCATGGAGTATGAACATGTGTGTATATCCTATTGTGTATGCATGTACACCGTATGCATACATACACCCACATATGTGCATCCATACTTGAGTCTCATGCTCTACCGACAGAGCTAACCGGGCATTTATGTGTATTTATACTCAATGAGAGACCACTTTCTCCACATTCCAGAGACATTTGCCAATGTCTGGGACTTTCGGTTGTCACATTTGGGACATAGGGTTCTACTGGCTTGAGACCAGGAATGCTGGCAGCTATCCTGTGATGGACAGGACAATCCCTATGACAAAGAGCTGATGCAAAATGTTACTAGTCAATAGCCAGTAACTCCAGTTCCAGGGGATCTGATGCCCTCTTCTGGCCTCCGCAGGCACTGCATGCACACGGTACTTGCATTCAGGCAAAACACTCATACACATAAAATAAAAATAAATATTTAAAAATGTTACTAGTGCTGAGGTTCAGAAACCTTGGTGTGCACACATGTGTACACACACATGGTGCGCATTTTCAGGGCTTTGAGTCTTACAGAAGAAATTGCTCAGCATATAATGTGAGCAAGCAGAATAACAAGTCATACACTGTGTTCTGCTGTACACACACCAGTGTTGGGGAAGCGCGCCTGGAGGGAGGAAACCAAGTCCTGCGGGCAGCTTTCAGATTCTGGAAACGTACGTGTCCGTGGCGAGGAGCCCAGGCTCGGCCACGAGGCTGTCTGGGTTACTGCTGGCTCTGATACTCCTAGCTCATGCTCTTGCCGTGTTTGTGCTTCCGTTCTGACTTCTTTGAGACGGGGATTAAACTCTCTTTGTCTTCCGGCTGTTGTGGAATAGGGCTTAGAGTGGTATCTGGCTTCAGGCAAGAGGAACATGCTGAGCTGGTAGGTAGGAGAGTAGCAGCTATCTTACACTCTGTGACAAGCCCGGAATTGTTCTGCCAGGAGCTCTACCTACAGCTACTCTACCCAGCCTTCTGGACGGCTGTGGACCTACTGAGCTCCGAGCCTCAGCCTGTCCCAGGACTCTGACCTCCCTCGGTGACTCCCATGTATGAACTGGGAAAAGGCTGTGGGAAGTGGGGATCTGCTCAGGTGTGTGGGTACTGTTGAAGCCCTTTGGAGTTGTTTGGGCTGCAGCCACCAGGGACAAGCGTGCTGAGTGACCGGGCAAGGGTGCTGCAGGAGACTGAGAACAGGAAACTGGGCTTCTAGTGTCCCTTGTGGCCAAGTTAGCTCCTTGCTCTCTCCAAGGCAGTCTGGGGTTTGAGGGGAGGAGCACTGAACAGTATCCCTTCCTTCAGGGTGTGAACCTGTATGTGAAGAACCTGGATGACTCCATTAATGATGAGAAACTGAGGGAAGCATTCTCTACCTATGGAGTGATTACCAGTGCTAAGGTGAGGGTTGCACCACCTCTAGGGGGCAGCTTTTCTTCACTCTCTCAGTCCTCTCCACCCCTCCACCCCTCAACCCCTCACCCTTCCACAATTCCCAGCCTCTTGCTTGGCTTCCAGGCACTTGGGATGGAGCTCTCTTTTCCTGTTCTATGTCCTTTGACATTCACGGTCCACTTGTAGCCGTGACTGGGTCAGTCAGGAAGAAAATAAACATGGTCTAGCCATAGAGCTGGACTTGGGGTGCCACAAGCATTTATTGAATACCTACTATATGCCAAATTCCAGAAACTTATCCCATTCCTGGGCCTTAGTTTACCCATCTGGAAAATGAGACAGCTGGGCTGTACAGTACTCTTCACTCACTCTTTCCCATTTATTGAGCACCAGCTGTGTGCCTGATCCTATGAGGTACCTGAGATGTGATGAATGCCCATTCTGCTCTGTAGTTCTTTGACTGTGAAGGAGTCTTAGTGACTGTGCTTCATCTGTAGGACGAAGGTACAGGGGCATACCACATGGGTATTAGCCCTGGTCTCTTTGAATTTCTTGGGCAGTTCTTAAATAGACACCCGAGTCTCTAAGGCCATGACCTGAACATTTGACTTTATTTTTTTCTGAGACAGGAATCTCACTATGTAGCCCTGATTAGCCTTAAACTCACATAGATCTATCTGCCTCTACCTCCTGAGTGCTGGGATTAAAGGTGTACACTACCATGTTCAGCTATTTTTTAATTAAAAGTTCTTTATTACATTTAATTTATTGTATATATGTGTGTGCATGTGTGCATATATGCATACACCATAGTGTACATGTGAAAGTCAAAGGACAACCTGTGGGAGTTGGTTCTCTCCTTCCACCATGTGAGTCCCAGGGATCAAACTCAAGTTGTCAGGCTTGGCTGCAAGTGCCTTTACCCACTGAGCCATCTCACCAACCCTGGGACTTTTTAAAAGGTTCCTAGGTGATTGTAAGATAGCCTAGGACTTATTCATTCCATATCAGCCTCTGTGGGAAGCATATAAAAAAGTAAGAGGTGGTTCCCTGTCTTTGAGGAGCTTATGGTCTAGTGAGGAAGTCAGATGCATCACAATTACAAGATGGGAGACAGGGGCTGGGGAGATGGCTCAGCTGTTACGTACTTCCTTGTAAGCATGAGGACCTGAGGTCTGTCCTAAGAACACAGGTTATAAAAAAACCAAATGTGGTGAGTGGCACTTGCTTACAATCCCAGTGCTGAGGAAGACGGAGACAGGTGGGTCCATGGGATTTGCTGGCCAGTCAACCGAGCCTTCTTTGCAAGTTTAAGGCTAGTGAGAGACCCTATCTCAAAACAAGGTGAACACCATCTGAGGAATGATATTTGATGTCGTGATAAAGACGGAGGCATGACTGGTATTGCAATACTTATTTTGTTGCCCGTATTTGTAATAGAAGAAAATGCTAATGTGAAAATAAAGATGATGTTTTGTACACACAAGTTCACAGAGTCTATGAATGTCCCTCCCAAAGGGGTCTTTGGACCTTCAGCTGTGCCTAGGCATGGCAGTCTGAGAGTCACTGTGCTACAATGTGGGCTCTGATGGTAAAAAGAGCTCTAGACTTCACATAGCGTGTGAACCAGGCCTGTTCTGGTCTTGGAAGAAAAGAAGATGATTTGTTTAACAGTGAAATCCAAACAAAGCAAGCTTGGAGTTGAGATGGATAACAGTGAACACTCCGTAGAACTGTGCCATTGTTCATGGAGTTTTGACACATGGACTTAACATGAGGGGAGGCTGGGTAAAAGATACATAGCAGCCTCTGTATTGTTTTTCTTTTTTAAGCAGTGAGACAGGTTTCACAGTGTAGCCAGGATGGCCTTGAACTCCTGGCTAGCACAGGCTGGCTTCAAGCTCACAGTGATTATCCTGCCTCAGCCTCCCGAGTGCTGGGCTACAGGTGTGTGCCACCACACCTCGTTCTCTGTACTGTTCTTCCAACTTTTCTGAAAGTCTAAAGTTACTCCAAAACTAAGATATTTTCAGAAGGCAGTTGAGAACATCTTTTGCAAACATCTGAAGAACCCAGCCTCACACCTGGAGGAGGCAGTAGAAATCACCACTGTGTTGAGTCCAGGTTGTCCATGAACCAACAGGCAGGTGGCCCTGGACAAGTCACTCTGGAGTCTCCCTTTTGCTCCTGTAAAGAGGAAGTCACAGAACCTCCCTCATCAGGAGGCTGTGTGAGAGCCACAGCCACAAAGCTTTGTGAAATGTTTGCATACCATAGGCCTCAGTAAATGTGGGTATGGATGGTTCACCCCACTGTCAGAGGGGAGGAGAAGAGCAGAGCTCAGGCAGCTCCCTTGCTCGCCCCAGCAACCCTTGTCTTATCTTGCTTTTAGGTGATGACAGAGAGTAACCACAGCAAGGGGTTTGGCTTTGTGTGCTTTTCCTCCCCAGAAGAGGCAACAAAGGCCGTGACAGAGATGAATGGGCGCATCGTGGGCACTAAGCCTCTGTACGTGGCCCTGGCACAGCGCAAAGAGGAGCGGAAGGCCATCTTGACGAACCAGTACCGGAGGCGCCTCTCCCGCCCAGTCTTGGGCTCCTTCCAGCAACCCACTAGCTACTTAGTGCCTGCTGTGCCCCAGGTGCAGTGTGCCCACAGCTCCCGCAGGAAGGTAGAACTTCCAGACAAATATAGGTTCTGCTGAGAACTCTTTAGGCAAGCTGCTCCCACCCTTAAGTCTGGCTTTCTCCATCTGTAGAGGGGCACTGTATGCAGTCAAACAATGTCTTCCAGTCTGTGTGAGATTCCTCAACAGTGTGTGGACGTGATTCTGGTTAAATGAGTTTGGGAGATGGTACATTAAATATAGGTCTGAATTTCTTTATTGTATCAGTTATGTCAGAATCCATTGACTCTCCTAAATAGCCATAGAGCCGGTAGCATTTCCCAGTCTCATATGGTCATGCCCGTGAACACCTCCCCTGACTGTTAACATTCTGAAGGACATGGCTGAGGAAAGGACCTCACAGGACATAGAGCAGTAGAAAGATTTGAACCACTCGAGGCCCCTGAGTCGATAACATCCTTTTAGAGTTGCTTGAGCTGGCACAAATTAGAGTAAGACAAGACAGACTGTATCTAGGTCACTGGGCTAGACCTGACAAGGAGCAATGGTTGAAATCTGAGCTCTTTCTCTGAGGGTTTCAAGGTTAATGGGCATCCTGAGATGGGAGGATGGAGCCTTCCTGTCAGCTTTGTGGGCCTGACCTAGCCTATCTTCTGCAGGGACAGTGTAGCTCTAGCAATGGTGTCCCTGACAAGACACAAAGCCCCTCATCATAGATTCTCTTCTCCCATAGTCTCCAGCACAGGCTCTGTACTATGGTTCTGGCTCCATAGCTCCCGTGCATCCTGACCCCAGGTGGACAGTCCAGCCACAAGGACCTTCATGTGAGTGACCCAACCCTTCCCACTTCAGCCAGGCTTAAGGATGTGGTGGGCCCTGAGAGAAGAGGCAGCATGTGACTAAGGGGCCTAGCCTGGCGTTGCATCTCTCAGCTAGCTGCTCTGAACCTCAGTTTCCTCTTCTCAACTCAAGGCCCGAAGCAGCAAACACGGTTGGCAAGCCTGACACAGACAGGCCGTGTGGCTGTTGCCAGCTCTCTCTGAAGGCTGCCTGATTTACAGCTGAAAATGCTCGCAAAGCAGAGAAAATGAAAGTCTTTTGGCCACATTGTTGATGAATGGCCTTTTCTTTCTTTCTTTCTTTTTTGGGGGGTCTTTTTGAGACAGGGTCTCCCTGTAGCCCCAGCTGTCCTGGAACTCACTATGTAGACCAGGCTGGCCTTGAACTCACAGAGATCCACTTGCCTCTGCATCCCAAGTGCTGGGACTAAAGGTGTGTGCCACCATGCCCAGCAATGAATGGCCTTTCTAAGAGCTGAGTTCACACTCGAAACTCCTGGGACTAAGATGATTTAGATTTTTCAGAGCTCTGAGGAAACATGAGCTGGCTCTGTCATGGCCGGCTTCTATACACTTTCCCTAGAGTTCTGGGTCAGGATGAATTGCCTCATCTCTCTGCTGTGAATTTCTAGTTTCTCTCCCCAGCCCTGGGAACTTTAGGATATAGTATGCTACTTTGACTAATCCTCCCCCCACAACCTTTCTCTCTCTCTCTCTCTCTCTCTTTGTGCCACAAGCCACCTGCCCTCCAGTTGCCTCAGTGGTGCAGCCACCAAGCACATCCCAATACCCCTGTGCTCACCTCAGCAGTGTCAGGCAAGCCTCAAGCCAGGTGCCTCACATGCAGAGAGTGGGTGAGTGTGCGTGGGGCTAAAATTTGGAATGGGGTGTGTGTGAGGAGGGTGAGGCAAAGTCTTAGCATTGGGATTGGCACTGGAGGGGAGTTTAGACAAGGCTCTAGTGACCTTGCTTAGCCATGTCAAATTGGAGGCTGTCTGTGATCTCCAGCTCCTGGGATTCAGTCTGTGGTATAACACACCTAAACACAAAACTTATTGCTTTAATTTTTGTTATTTTTATTTTATGTGTATATTGCCTGCATGCGTGTAAGTGCATCTGTGTCGTGCAATGCCCGAGGAGGTCAGAAAAAGGCATCGGATCCTCTGGAAGTGGGGTCATGCATGGTTGTTAGCCACCATGTGGGTGCTGGGAATCGAACCTGGGTCCTCTGCAAGAGCAGTCAGTGCTCTTAGCTGCTGAGCCATCTCTCAGCCCTAATTTTAATTTTTAACACAGGGTTTCACTATGTAGCCCTGACTGGTCTGACACTATGAAGACCAGGCTGATCTTGAATTCAGAGATCTGCCTTCTTCTGCCCCCTGAGTACTAGGACTAAAGGCATGTGACATCACACCACGATTATCATTATCATTTTAAAAAATATTCTTATGTGTATGCATGTATTGCCTGTGTGTAAGTGAGCCTGTGTCATGCAATGCCCTTGGCGGTCAGAAGAGGGCATTGGGTCCCCTGGAACTGGAGTTAATGAATGGTTGTTAGCTGCCACATGGGAGCTGGGAACTGAACCCAGGTCCTCTGTAAGAGCGGCCAGTGCTCTTAGCTGCTGGGCCATCTCTCCAGCCCCTGCTTTATTATTTTTAAGCCTGTACTTCAGTGGCACTCAGTACCTTCACACTGTTAAGGATGAATCACAACAGTTGTCACCGTCATCTTGAAAGCTTTTTGTCTTACAAAACTGAAGTTCTCATTAAGCCATAACTCTTCATTTCCCCCTCTCAGCCCCCGGAAACCACCATTCTATTTTTGTCTCTATGAATTTGCACTTGATCTTAGCCAAAAGGCTAAGAAGCAATTGTCTGTGACTTTAAGCATGCTGTTTATTTCATGTAAGTGGAATCATACGGCATTGGTCTTTTGTGACTGACTCACTTAGCACAATGTCCTCAAGATTCAGTTATGCTTTGGCATGTTGGAATGTCTGCCCATTGTATGTACAGATCACACTTTGGCTATGCATTCACCTGTCGATGGACGTGTGGGTTACTCCTAGCTGTAGGGTTGTAATGAACACTGCTGCTAGGAACATGGGTTTGCAGATCTCTGAGGCCCTTCTTTCAAGTCTTTGGGATACTTATGCAGAAATGCAGTTGCTGGATGTATTGGTTCTGTTTAATGCTTTGAGGAACCCTGGTGCTGGATTTCTGCAGTTGCTGTACCTGCATTCCTGTCAACAGTGCACAAATATTCCAGTGTCTTTACATTTTAATCAAAACTTGCTACATAAATTTTCTAAGTAGCCATTGGAATCCTGTTTATTTTTTACAGCCAACATTGGTACCCAGACCACAGGACCAGGTGGGGAGGGATGCTCTATTCCAGGCCGGCCTCGCCTGCCACACAGAGGCTCCTCAGCTGTATACAATGCCCGTGGGGTAAGGCTGCCTGCTCACTCTGGGCTCTGGGAATCCTAGCTCACAGCCTTGGTTAAGGTGTTGTCCCTCTGGGCCTTGCTTTTCTTGGCCTGTAAAATTTCATTTACTAATATGTACAGTCAGTTAGAGGTCATCCCTGCTAACAGAAGGGAGATAAGGCCAGGGCCACACTTTGTTTACTAGTTACAATTTTTTTCTAGGTTACTATGAGAATTAATTTGTACTATCCTAGTATTTCTGTTGAGCAGAAGGGAAAGGTATTCTAAGAATATGCTGAGTGATTAAGCTTCAAAATAGAACTAAAACTGTGTATTATAATTAAAGCTATGTATCTCCTTACCACTCCATCCCCCAAAGATCTCAAATTCAGCATTATCATAACATGTCAAAAACTCCAGTAAGTCTAGTTTGAACTATGTCTTGAAAAATAAACAAGGGTAGCCTTTAAACAGCAATAGTGCTTTTAAAGTTAGCAAGGTGTCAGGGACTATGGAGGTGCATACCGGTAATCCCAGCACTTGGGAAGCTGAAGGAGGAAGAGGAGGAGCAAGAGTTCAAGGGCAGCCTAGGTTACATGGTCTCTCTCTCTCTCTCTCTCTCTCTCTCTCTCTCTCTCTCTCTCTCTCTCTCTCACACACACACACACACACACACACAATCAAGGTGAATGTTTTCAGGTGATATGTCTATAAAGTTTACTGAGAAAAGCGCTTTATTGGCCACAAAGTAACTAGTGCTGTGTATCTTTCACGTGACAGCATTCATGAAGGGCCTTTGTTGGTTCAGAGTATGCAAGTTTGAACATTATTTTGTCTTCTGATCCATATGCCCCTGTAAGGAATGTGCTGCCCTACTTGATTGTCCAGCCCTTCCTCCCCTCTTCCACAGCCTCTCCTGGAAGCTTGTGTTCCCCTGGCAGGGTAAGTGTGCGAGGACTTTCCCATCCATGTGGTTAAGGTATGTGTTCCTGGCACCATGTGCAGGTCCAGGAGCCGGCTATGTACGTCCCTGGCCATCAGCCCCTGACAGCGTCCATGCTGGCTGCAGCATCTCTTCATGAGCAAAAACAGATGATTGGTGAGTGGTGGGCTCTCCTATGCAGGGGCAGGAAGGGGGACTTAGAGAGCTGGCTAGCCTACCAGGAGTACCCTGAGTAAGGAAAGATGTCTTGTCACTGACTGAGATGCTGGGTAGCCTTACACTAGCTGCCTCTACTTCCTAGGCCTCTGTTCTCTCGTCTTGAAATACCAGTGGGCTAGTGCTCCCAAAGCTTTTCCCAGGTCTGCTGTCTGACTTAGGTGGGAGATACCTGAATGTGGGATCAGGGCCAGGAGACAGAGTAAGGGTATACCCTTGGGAAATGGCCCAGGGTGGGCATTCTGTGTCTTCATACTTCTAATATGAGGAAGCTGGGGCTAAATTTCATCTATCTCCTGGTGCCCCCTGCAGGGAGGTGGGAAATAACTGTGTGTTGGGTAAATACAGGTGGCTCCCACTGGACTCTGAGTTCCTAGTATAGTTATCTCAAGCCCCAGCATTTCTGACAGGCTCTACTAAAAGATACCACTAGGGGGTCTGGGGCGATGGTTCTTTGGGTAAGAATGCTTGCTGTGTAAGCATGAGGACCTGAGTTTGAATCTTCAACACCCACATGAAAGCTAGGCATGGCTGCATGCTTGGAACCCCAACGCTGGAGAGTGGTGATGGGCAGAGGCCAGGAGTTTGTTGGCCAGCTGGTTTATGGAGAGCTTCAGGGTGAGCGAGAGACCTTATCTCAAGGGAGTAAGGTGGGGAGTGATAGACCAGGATACCTGCATTCTCCTCTGGCCTCTGTATGTGCACACAGTTGCACACACGCACACACACACATACATTCATTATGCACACAGATGTCACTAATGTCAGATTGAACAACTTGTTCCCGGCTGGCTGGTTCTTCACCTCGTGATGTCCCCAGCCCCTTCACTGAAGGCCCCATTGCCACTACTGTATCGTCTCTTCAGCTTACTTGTGAGGTTTTCCCACTTCACATCCCACCTCAACACAAAAGCACATGCTTCATGTAGACTTCATTAGCATTTGTCTGTAAACATGGCAGTTCATGGGAAGACCTTTCTACTCACTTAAATACCCCATCCTGACCTGGTCTTCCACACATTGCCAAGATGGGCCAACATCCAAACTAGGTTCTGCTTTTAGAAATATGTGGTGGGGGAAGGTGGATTTATGCTGTTCCCCCTCCCCCCACCAAAGTATCAAGTTTAGCCTTACATCCTGTCTAGAATATCAGTGTGTCTAGTCAGAACGCCTTCTCACAAAATGAACAAATGTAGTCTCCAAACTCAACTGACTTTGCTGCAGATCATTCCACATGATGTTGCTAAGGTGGGTTTATTATGCCCACTTTGCAGAAGTTCCCAGTAAGGTTGAGACAGCCTGGAACGAGAGGTTCTGGGACAAGAACCTGGTTGTCCTCCCTGCTTCACTCCACACCACTTCTGGGATGCTTGGCTTTGAGGCTTTGAGGCAGGTGTGTGCTTAAGCTATGAGAGGTTGTTCCACACAGGGGAGCGTCTCTACTCCCTCATCTGTGATGCCTACGCCCCCCTGACTGGCAAGATCACGGGCATGCTGCTGCAGATGGAGAACTTGGAGCTGCTGCTCTTGCTGGAGTCTCCAGAGTCCCTCCATGCCAAGGCAGGTGGAGGCGGGTGGTAGGACAGCAAACAAAAGCTGTCCAGCAAGTTGGACAGCTGCTATCAATGTAGCTGAATCTCAACCGAGGGCCCTTCATGCCCTCGCAGACAAACTCTGTGTGGCTCCATAGGCAAGGTTTTGGTATAAGTAGCTGTGTTCTGACAGTGTAGAGGTGAAGGTTGTTTTGGTGTCCAGCAGTGCTACCTGTGTTTCGAGATGGTGGCAAGAGGGCTGGAATGTTCTGAGCAGCGATGAAGTGGGTTGAAGCCATGGCGCTTCTGGGGCCCTGGTGGGGCAGCTGCATCAAACTCCTCTCACTTGTGTTCCACAGATAGAAGAGGCGGTGGCGGTGCTGCAGGCCCACCAGGCAGTGGAGTCAATGGAAGGCTACACGAACTGAAAACTCTGGACGGCTGGGGGTGGCAGGAGTGACGACAGAGCAGCTGAGCCCAGGAGATGCTGTGGAGAACCAGGCAGAGGCTGACTTTCAGAAACTGTGCTGCTGCTGCTGGCTTTGTTAGAAGCACCAAAGAATTTGGTGAAGCTGAGCAGTCACAGGAGACATCTGCTGTGTGATTGGAATGCTGTAGTGAAGGAGGCACTGTCGCACCAGCTGCCCTGCCTGGCTCCGTTCTGCCTGCCTGAAGGCCTGGCCTGGTGTGGTCTACTCCACCTTCCTAGCTGAAGACTGGGTATCTTCCATACTTTGGAAACATTTATTTTTTTCCTTCTCCCCCTCCTTCCTAGGTAATGAACGTCTCCTTCCCTCGACTGCCAAGGGTACAGCATCTCCTGCTCTTGGCTCTAAGGCCCTGGAAACTGTAACTTATTTCCCTACCAGTCTGTATCTGTATCTGAGTTTTGGATGTGGAATGAAGACTGGCGATGCAGTCCACTGCTTACCTTTTGCTTTATATATTAAAAGTGCTGCAGAATCTACCTTGCCTCCCAGGAGTCCTTCTTGTGTCTGAGGGAGGTAGAGCTGAGCAAAATGTGGATCTGACTGGGTTGAGGCTTTGACTGTAATTAACAGACCCCCAAGTGCTGAAGTACACAGAAAGATGTGTGTTAGCACAGAAAGGTACTGGGAGCTGAGCTTGACGATGATACCTCTGAATCAACCCACCTGGCCCACCAACAGCACAGCAGAGAGAAACTATGGACTAAAGCCCCAGGAATTCACATCCGAAGTGTGTAGCATTTCTGCAGGCTTGAGTGTCCTGAAGGGCAGGCAAACATCATAGAAGCAAGCGATTACATATAGGTCCCAGCAGACCAAAGGGTCATTAAGAGCTCAGCAGGCAGCAGGACGTGGTGGCACATGCCTTTAATCCCAGCCCTTGGGAGGCAGAGGCAGGCGGATCTCTGTGAGTTCAAGGCTAGCCTGGTCTACATAGTTCCAGGACAGCTGGGGCTACAGGGAGACCGTCTCAAAAAGACAAAAAAAAAAACCAAAAAACAAAAAACAACAAAAAAAAAAACTCAGAGGGCTGGAGAGATGGCTCAGTGGTTAAGAGCACTCTCTTCAGACATCTATGGGCATTGCACAACATGAATGCACTTATATGCATGCAAGCAATATACTCATAAAATAATAATATAGTTTTGAAAGAAGAGCTCTTGGGGCTGAAAAGATGGCTCAGTGGTTAGGAGCAACTGCTGCCCTTGTAGAGGATGCAGGTTTGGTTGGTTTCCAGCACCCATAGTGACTGACAACTAACTCCAGTTCCGAGGGGCGGCTGATGTCCTCTTCCCCTCTGTGGGCATTGCACGCATGTAGTGCACCTCTTTCATACAAGCAGGCAAAACACACATTAAAAACAAAACAAAACAAAAACTATAGAAATATACTGGAGTGCCTTCCCAGGTAAGGGTTTCCATGGTTTCCATCCCCTATGGGGAAAGGCAAGTTCCCCAGGGCAGTTAGTGCTCACCTCCTAAAGGGGTACAGACCCAGCTCCTGTCCTCCCCATACCCATGTGACTAATGGGCAGTGGCAATGCACCACCAACAGATCCAAGAACTCTTGCTATTCTGCCTCAAATTCTCTGTTACCCAGAAATTCTGAGACTTCTCCATACCTTAAACTACACCCTGTGCCCACCCTCCTCTCCCCACGCTGAATGCTGGCATTTCTTCAGGCCTGATCTGTGGCACACTCCTCTTCCCTCTACTTTCTCTTTCTTGATAGCTAACTTATAACCACAGTGTGCACCTACTTGAGGATGGCTCTGATTCCTTCAGCCCGGGCCACACACCTCACACCCTACTAACCCCTAGTTCTTAGAATCTCAGTGACACATCAAATTCATGTCTAAAGCCAAGCTCATGCATTAGTGCTCCCTGCCCCTAATTCTGTTTCTGTATTCAAATGTTCTCAGAAAAGGCTCCCGCCCTCAAACAATAGTTTCCCCTCCCTCCCCATCAGCCCCTTCCCTCATCTCATTTTCCATATGCCATCTATCAACCTCGTCCCCTACTTTCAGATGTTTCTAGTTCTCATGTTTTGTGGCCATCCTGGTCCAAGCTCAGCTGGACTCACCCTGGCTTCACCGTATTAGCGCCTGTCTCCTCCAATCTGTTCTCCACGTAGTCCTCCGGCTTCCCTCAGAATGAAATCTGATGTCTCATCCTTATGTAAGTCCACTACTGCATTCTATGTCATTAAGTGGAAAACCATGTAACTTGCAAACAGCCTCACCCCATGTCGTTCTGTGAACCTGAATGGCACTTTGCCCCATCCTCCCTCAGTGTGTGTTCCCTGCTAGGGAGAACTCCTGTTTGTCTAGGTTTCCACCCTTCACCTGTTAACATTTCTTTCAGCATTTGTTCCCATTTAAATTTTATCAGCATATATCCACGTGCAAAATAACGGCTTTCATTTATCACATTCACATATGTACTTCACTTGTTTACCCTATTACTCTCTATTCCCCCGTCTCCCTTCATTTCCCAAATATTCTCTTCCACTTTGATGAGACACACATACACATATGCATGTACATATAAAAATAAATCTAGACGTCACATATGTGAAAACATTCAATATTTGTCTTTGTAAGTCTGGCTTAATTACTTAACACGATCTCTAGTTCCATCCATTTTCCTGCAAATAACTATTTCATTCTTCTCTATGGCTGAATAAAACTCCATTGTGTGGGCCACAGAGATGACTCAGCATGGTAATGGTGCTCACCACCCAAGCCTGGTGTCCTGAGTTCAATTCCTGGAAGGTAGGACAGAACCAACTCCACAGTTGTCCTCTGACCTCCACGTGTGCTGTAGCGTACACACACACACACACACACACACACACACAAATCCCCTCCTCTGTATATATACATTTTCTTTATCCATCTCTTGATGGCTGTTTAGGCTGATCCTGTATTTTGGCTACTGTGAATAGTGCCACAATAAAGATGGATGTGTAGGTACCCTGCTGTATGCTTAAGAGCCCTTCAGTTATATAAGGAGTAGTAATTGCTGGACGTTTTTGAGGCCGCTTTATACTGATTTCCATGGTGGGTGGTCTTTCCTTTTAGTTTTTGTGGTGTTGGGGCTTAAATCCAGGGCCTATTAGGCAAATGTTCTACCGCTGAGCTATATTCCTAGCTTAGCCTCTTCTTCCAAACTTAGTTCAAGCTGTTTCCTGGAGGACTTTTACCCTTCATTGGACAACCTCCTCAATGTTGCAGGCAGGACAGCTGATGGCTGGCTTTCTCAATTGAGTTGCCAATTTACACTTCAGTATCTGATTAACTTCTTACCTTCTCATTGGAGTGGCATTCCTGAAGACGGGGATCCTACTTACCATTTCCCTAGCACAATGCACAATGCTGGTGTCTTCAGCAGATTTGTCCAATAAATGAATACCAAAGTAGTTGTTAGCTGTCCCCCCGGCCCCCATATTTTAAAAAAAATTATTTTTAAAAAAGCCGTGCAATGCTGCGGTCAGAAGAGGGCTTCGGATTCCCCTGGAACTAGAGTTAAGGATGGTTTGTACCCACCATGTGGGTGCTGGGAATTGAACCTGGGTCCTCTGCAAGAGCAGTGTTCTTAACTGCTGAGCCATCTCTCCAGCCCCTATTGTTTTTATTTTATGACTGTGTTGCCTGTATGTAGGTAAGTGCACCCATGTCATGCAATGCCCATGGAGATGACACGGTTGGATCCCCTGGGACTGGAGTTACAGTTGTCAGCTGCCATGTGGGTCCTGAGATACGAACCTGGATCTTCTGCAAGAACAGCCAGTGTTCTTAACCGCTGAGCCATCTCTCCAGCCCCTACCCTCCATTTTTATAGAATATTCTGTTTTGGGTTTTTTTTTTTTTTTGCCTCAGCTGGCCTGACTCGCTATGGAGACCAGGCTGGCCTCAATTTCACAGAGATCTGCCTCTGCCTCCTGAGTGCTGGGATTAAAGGTGTGCTCCACCAGATTGGGCTCAACATTCTGTATTTTTATTTAGAGAGTAATCACAAGTGTCATGGAAACACTTTTATTTATGTGTGTGAGTGTTTTGCCTGCCTGTAACTGCATCGATGTGCATGCAATGCCCACCAGGGCCAGAAGAGGGCATCAGATCCCCTGGAACTTGAGTTATGGATGGTTGTGAGCTGCCATGTGGGTGCTGGGAACTGAACCCAAGACTTCTGAAAGAGCACCCAGTGCTCTTAACCTCTGAGCTATCCACAACCTGAAAAAATTCCTTTTATAGAGTTAAAATTCAATGGTGGGAAAAGTATGTTTAAAGTCTAGCATGTTTTGGGGCTGGAGAGATGGTTCAGTGGTTAAGAGCACTGACTGATCTTTCAGAGGACCCAGGTTCGATTCCCAGCACCCACATAGTGGCTACAAACCGTCCTTAACTCCAGTTCCAGGGGAATCAGAAGCCTTCTTCTGACCTCCGCAGCATTGCATGACACGGGTGCACTCACATACATGTAGGCAATACACTCATACACATAAAGTAAAAACAATTAAAAAAAAAGTCTAGCATGTTTTGTGTTTTGTTTTGCACAGTGGCATTAATTATGACACTACAAAGTTCCAGGTGCAAAGCTAAAAAGGCATAAATGAAAATACAAGAGCCGCTTGTCTAGAAGAAAGCCTTTTAATGCAATAGCTTAAACACACAGGTCAATAAAATCAGTCAGTTCAAATTAACTTCAACATATAAACAAAGAACAAAGAAGCCTGCAGGGGCTGCTGTTGGGGGGAAAGTTCAGTTCCGGCTCAGAATAGGACACTGACCTCAAGGAGGCCTCTCTCCTGATCCCAGGAGGAATGGCCATCACCACAGGGCTCTTTGAAATAGCTTAGGTAGCTCCACACAGAAGGCAACAACACAGAGCCATGGACAGAGCCCCCAAGGGTCAGAGCTCTGCTTTCCCACAAAGGAGGATCTGGACTAAAGGCACTGGGGCTCGACACAGGGCAATGTGCCAAGGACAGGGCATGGACAGCAGCTGCCTCCTTGGGGAGGTTGCAGCCTTGGAGAACCAGCTCAACAGGCCGCTTTGGATATAAGTGGGCCAGGGTTTTAGTCTGTCAAACATTACCCTCCTAACTCAGATTAACTGTAGAAAAGTAGGGTCTGGGAAGCTACAAGGGCAACATTCAGTCTGCAGCACATCTGGGTCAGGGATGAAGTCAAGTACTTTGTTGACAAGGACCAGACTGAAGCAGGGGGATAGGGTGAGGGCTTTAGCTTCACACTTTAGCTCCAGTGGGAACCTTTCAGACAAGAAGTCCTGTGTTTGTCTACAACGGGCTTACTTTGAACAAGCAAAGCCTCTCAGGTGGAAGGCTGCTGCCTCTCCAAGGGGCTGAAGCGGGTGAGGCTTTAGCACTCCTTCGGGGGCATGCTGGGTGTCAGGGACAGATGCAGAGGAGGACCCTGGCTTCTCTGGGAAGGATGGATAAAGGGTTGCTCCTGGCCTTTGGGGATTTTAGTTCAGGTTCTGGTTAACTTCCTGCTGTAACTTCTGTGCAGGGCCATTCCTGGGTTCAATTTGTAGGAGGCTGCTAATATCTGCAAGGCTGGATTTGTAGTCCTAATGGAAGAGAAGAGAAGAGTATGGGGAAAGGACCCTGAGGAGGTGAGAACCAACTGGGATAGCTGCTGAGGCAGGAGAATGTTTTCAAACCCCAGCCCTGAGCTATCCTGGGGCTTGGGAGAGGGAACACTAAAAGTACTGCCTCAGCTCGACACACTAAGTCCCAGCCCTGGCATTAAGTCTCCACAGCTATGCCTAAGCCTCTGGGCAGGGAGCTTTTACCTTGAGTGCCTTGTAGGCTTGAGCCCGTCTGTAAAATGCCTTGACATTCTTCCCATCCAGCTTGAGGGCTTCGGTGCAGTCCTTTACTGCCTCCTTGTACTGCTTCAGGACCAGATGGCAGAGTGCTCTGGTGGGGAAAGACCACTGCAGACATTCACTCCTTGCAGATCCCCTCAAGCCAGCCAGAGGTAGCTGGGGGAGGATCTGATTCCCTGAGGACCTATTCTGTACTGGATGCTTTCAGTACTTTCTTCAGTCCTCAAAATTCTAGCTCCCTCCCCTTTAAAAGAGTTCATTTTTATGTATAAGTATGTGAGTGAGTGCCAAATGTGTGCTGGTGCTTGCTGAGGCCAGAAGGTGTCAGATCCCTTGGGACTGGAGTTAAAGGTGGGTGTGAGCTACCTGACACAGATGCTGGAACTGAACTCGGGTCCTCTGCAAGAACAGCAAGGACCTTTAACCACTGAGCTCACTGTCCAGTCCCTCTAGCTCTTTTCTACAGGTGAAAAGGCTGCCACACACCTGTAATCCCAGCACTCGGGGGGCAGAGGCAGGCGGGTCTCTGTGAGTTCGAGGCCACCCTGGTCTACAAAGTGAGTTCCAGGCCAGCTGGGGCTACAGGGAGACCCTGTCTCAAAAAGACCAAAAACAAAAGACTACGTGCAGCTGGCTCAAAGGAGTTCAGGGATGTACCTAAGCTGCTACCACTACTGGGTAGTAAACCTGGGTGCAAACCAAGGCATGCAGGACCTCAGGTCCTGACCTTGTTCTGTCATTCTACTTCATTACTCTGCAATTTTCATGCAAAGAAAAGTTTCCTGAAGCCTTTCCCTCTCAGATTAAAGAAGTCTCTTAAAAAATTTTTTTATTGTTTTTATTTTATGTGTGAATGTTTTGCCTGCATGTATGTAATTTCACCAATGTGCAATGCCCAAGGAGGTCAGAAGGGGGCGTTGGATCCCCTGGAACTGGAGTTATGGGCAGTAGTTAGCCACCATGTGGGTGCTGGGATTTGAACCCTGGTCCTCTGTAAGAGGAGTGCTCTTAACCACCGAGCCACCCGCTCCAGCCCCAATATCTATTTTAAGAAAAAACAAATGTACGAATACTGAATCCTAAATGATAAGCATGCTAACACTTTAGGAGTGAAATGTAAAGATGTAAGCAATTACTTTGAAGCACATCAAAAACAAGATGGAGTGGGCCAGGGACGTAGTCAGTGGTGGAGCACTTGCCTAGCGTCCCCAGGCTCACAGAACTAATTACTATCGAATTCAGATGGTATATGGAGGTCCAGTGTGCTTTTTTGGGGGGACAGGGTCTTCCTGGAGCCCCAGCTGGCCTGGAACTCACTATGTAGACCAGGGTGGACTTAAACTCAGAGATCTGCCTGCCTCTGCCTCCCGAGTGCTGGGACTACAGCCGTGTGCCACCACGTCTGGCCAACCAACAGGAATTTTCATTGTTTCCAGCTTGTACATAAATGGCGCTACAGTGAACTCCCTCCCAGGGACTGCAGATCAAGAGATACACACCTCTCCAGTTCTGACAGGAACTGCCAAGATGATCTCCAAAAAAGTTCACTCTGCTGTCACTGAGTCTATTTTCTTATAACCCTACCAAACCTGGGTCTCTTGAACTTAATTTTTGTGAATATGAAAGGAAATGTTAACTAATTTACTTCAGTTTTTAAAATTGATCGATTATTTTTTTCTTGGTGCTGCTGGGGAATCAAATCCAGGGTCTTGAGCGAGTTGCTTCAAATATGGAAAGCTGCACGTTAGTAAGTTTTTAATCTTTTCTTTTTTGAGCTAGAGTTTCACTGTGTAGCCCTGGCTGGACTGGAACTCAGATCTGCTTGCCTTTGCCTCCTGAGTGCTAGGATTAAAGGCATCACCATGCTGGCAGGTTTTTTAATCTTATAAAATCATATTTATCCAACTTATCCTTAATAACTTCTATGGTGTTTTCCTTCCACACTGTAAGGTAATTAACCCACCTGTTCTCCAACAATGGTTTCCGTTCTTAACATTTCAAACTGTGATGGTCTAAAAACTGATTTTAAAATAAGGAGTGAAGAAGGATTCAGGTCTTTATTCAACTTAAATGCCAATTGGGTGCCCCCAGAGGCCAGAGGAGGGTTCAGGATCCCTTGGAACTGGGGTTATAGATGTTTGTGAGCTTTCCAATGTGGGTGCTGGGAATTGAACCAGGGTCCTCTGCAAGAGCAGCAAGTGCTGTTAACCAACTGTGCCATCTCTCCAGCCCCTGTATTTAACTCTTACTATTTAAATAAGCAATATTGGGTTTGCTGGTATCTCTTTTCCCCATACTTTATTATATACTAAATTCTCTATTTGTTTATTTATTTATTATTTATTTATTTATATTTATTTTTTCTGACAAACTGGGAATCATCACCATGACTTAAAAACAAAAGCAAAATTGCTGGGCGTGGTGGCGCACACCTTTAGTCCCAGGACTTGGGAGGCAGAGGCAGGCAGATCTCTGTGAGTTTGAGGCCAGCCTGGTCTACATAGTGAGTTCCAGGCCAGCTGGGACTACAGGGAGACCCTGTCTCAAAAAGACCAAAAAGTGAAAAAAAGCAAAATGAAAATCCACTCAGGATGGGAGTACAGGCAGGGTGCTTACCTGGCATGCATGAGGCCCTCAGTGAGATGCCTAGCAGTACACCCCCCTGCAAAAGGGTGCAAAACCAGCTCTACAAGCATTATAAAGAGGTATTAAAACAGTGTGGCACAGATACATTTGCTTAAAGAACAGTACTTAAAACTATTCTTGATATAGTAAAAAGAAAAGAATTCAGAATGGGCTAATGGGGGTATCTAGAAGCAAAAAGAGACAGACAGGAGCTGGCAGATGCCACCAACATAGAACGGTGGGTGTAGGCCTCCTTCACAAATCAGCCTAACCAATGGAGGTACCCTGGCCCAATCAGCCAGTAAAACAGGCCCAAGTTCCACTACCCAAAATTTAAAAACTAAAACTGAGTGACATGAGACAACTTAGTTTCTTTATGCGATCTCGTGAATATGGAATTTCCATGCTTCACTGAAGAAATACTAGCAATTTATTTCAGAGAGCTGCCCCAGGCTCTGCTGGGGTGTTTTCAGTATACGGGCCATATTACCTCACTAAAATCTGAAACAGGTTTTTAATTTAATTTAAAAAAATTATTATTCCAGCCAGGCACGGCGACACACACTTTTAATCCCAGCACTTGGGAGGCCAGCTTGGTCTCCATAGTGAATCCAGGTCAGCTGTGGCTACAGAAAAGACCCTGTCTTAAAAAGACCAAAAAAAAAAAAAAAAGAAAAATAACATGTGCATTAGGGTACATGAGCCGTGGGGCTCACGTGAAGATCAGAGGGTGACTGTGTTGTCAGTGCTCTCCTTCCACCTGCACCACCATGTCTGCATTATATTTTTATTATTTTAAATATGTATATGGGTATGTGCACATGAATGTAGGTGTCCCAGGAGACCAGGAGTCATATCCTTTGGAGCTGGAATTATAGATGGTTGTGAACTGTTCATTGTAGGTGCTGGGTCTCTGCAAGAGTAGTACACACTATTCTTAAAAAATATTTATTTATTTTAAATATGTTTTTATTTTTATATGTATGTGCAACAATTGCCTGCATGTAGGTAAGTGCACCTGTGTTGTGCAATGCCCGTGGAGGACAGAAGAGGCTGTCAGATCCCCTGGAACTGGAGTTATGGATAGTTGTTAGCTGCCATGTGGGTGCTGGGATTCGAATCTGGGTCTTCTTCAAGGACAGCCAGTGTTCTTAACCTCTGAACCGTCTCTCCAGCCCCGTTATTTATTATTTTTATTTAATGTGTATGTGTGTATTGCCTGCATGCAGGTAAGTGCACTCATATTGTACAATGCTTTTGGAGGTCAGAAGAAGGTGTCAGATCCCCTGGATCTGGAGTTACAGATGGTTGTTAGATGCCATGTGGGTGCTGGGAATCGAACCCAGGTCCTCTGCAAAAGCAGTTAGTGCTCTTAACCACTGAGCCATCTCTCCAGCCCCAAAGATTAAAAAATATATATTTATTTATTATTTATGGGTATGCGTGTATGCCTGCATGTGTTAATGTCCATCATGCGGGTGTAAGATGCCTGCAAAGGCTAGAAGAAGGCATCAGATACCCAGAAACTGGAATCAAAGGTGGCTGTGAGCCACCCAATGTGGGTACCAGGAACTGAACCTAGGTCCTGAGGTAGTGCAGCAAGCACTCTTAACCTCTCAGCCACTCTCTTCAGCCCCGAGATAAAAAAATTTTTTTTTTTTTAACTAGAGAGGGTTAAGTGCCTGTTGGCATGAAGGAAAAGACAGATTTACAAAATTTTATAATAAATGCATGGATTAGACATGGCCTTTTGTTGGCTCTAACACGCTCCTGACAAAAAAACTAACAGATCTCATTGGAGTTGGACTAAAATCACACTGCCACCATTTACTTGCTGGGGAGCTTAGGCAAAGACTTTCCTTCTCTGAGCCTTGATTTTCTTAACTTTAAAACAGTAATACCTATCACCCACACTTCTGTGCATATTAACTAGAGCAGTTAGTCCCATACAACAGGGACAGTGTCCTGGCTCCTGGGCCTTCACTATCCATCCTTCCTAACAGTTTCTGGTGCAGAGCCTGCCACAATCCCACAAGTCTAACCTCTCAGGCTTCACTGCACTCCTTCCTCCTATTCCCAAGGCAGACAACAGTTACTCTACTCCCTGGGTTTTGGGCCAGCACCCTAAGAGAGACTGCTAATATTTCTAACAGAGAGTCCTAGAGAAGCCATGGGGTGGGGAGCAGGGCAGGGAGGCAAAGGCACTCATTTTCAGGTTTGCTGACACAGCGAGCACACCATTTTTACTTACATTGCATGTTAAAAATTCTGGGGTGAGGGCTAGGACAATTCAGACTACCTTTAAGCATATCTTTAAATTCCCAGCCCTTTACGAGATGCCCTCAGCAACACCTGGTTCAGTGCCCAAAACAGGTGTGAATGCATGTTTTGAGCTTTAACATAGGACTAACTGAAAGGGACCAAAGAATCCAGCATAGTCTGGGCCGCTTGTGGTAGGCAAGTGTCCTACCACTGAGCTACATCCCAGCCCTCAGAGAAGCCTACAGGAGCATCAGGTGTCCTGAACTCACTCAGGCCAGCAGCTGTGAGAAGATACCTGTTGCTGTATGTCGCAGACTCCAGGTTACTGAACAAGAGGCTTTCACTGTACTTCTCAATAGCTTTCTTATGGCTGCCCTTCTTTACAAGTTCATTGCCTTCTTCCTTCAGAACTTTGGCTCTCTCCACATCCCCAGCAGAAGGCACTAGATACAAATTCAGAAGAGGAAAAAACCATGAAGCACTGGTGCCCAAATGGGATCAATGGGATCTCTTCAGCATCATCTCTTCCCAATCGTGTGCAACCACATCCTTCCTGACTAGTAATTCCCCTAACAGTTTCTAAATATTAAACAGTTATTCATTTAGAAGAGGTCGAACACATATCAGAAACATACTTACACATGCATCTAACACATGACCAAAAGCAACTGAGGCGTGGCTCTTGGTGCTGCTACTGGGTAGCTGGACTTTCTTGGGTGACCTACTTAACTTCTGCACCTCAATTTCCTTACCAGTGCCAAAGGGCTATTGTGAGGATCAGATGTGACAATACAGGAGCATGCAGAATACCCTACGAACTTAAAGAGGGGAACAGGTGAGTGCTAACAAACAGGTATCTGTGGAGAAAGACTGCAGCTTCTGTGTTTCAGAAAAGGGCCGAAGAGCCCTCTTGCCCTGTCTGGTCTGCACTTGTGAGTGTCCACTTGTCATTTGCAGCTCTGCTCCAGTCCTTAAGGGAAGAGGGAAGAAAACAAGGTAAAACCCAAGCTGATCACACTGGTCTTGAGGGCCCGTCACTGCTTAGCTCTAATCAAGTGTTTCAGCCTCAGTTCTGCAGCACTACTTTTAATCTTTAAAAACTGGTTATAAAATACTCAGTACTTACGGCAAGGTAAGGTCAGAGGAATAAAATCAACTCATCCCCCTGCTTATGAAGCACTGCTAGGACCTTTGGGGCCCTGAGGACCCCTCCCCAACTCACTCTGCTCTTGGAAGAAACTATTATCTCTAAGTCTGTGCTTTCTCTTGCTTTCAAGGGGAAAAAAATTCTGTATTTTTAAAAACAATATAGTTAAAAAAAATTCTATTATTTTTACTTTATGTGTACATGTGCCTGCGTATATGTAAGTGCACCTGTCATGCAATGCCTGCAGAGGTCAGAAGGTGGTGTTGCAGCCCCTGGAACTGGAGTTACAGACAGTTGTTAGCCTCCATATGGGTGCTAGGAATTGAACCCAGGTCCTCTGCAAGAACAACCAGTGCTCTTAACCACTGAGCCATCTCTACGGTCCCCAAATGATACAGTTTTAAACATCTGTAATTGATACAATTCCACAATGGATTTTTCCTGCTTGTCTATGGAGACCTTTTCATACCGTTTTTCACTTGGTTTACTTCATAACAACTAAAGGAGGCCAGTTTTTATAGGGCTGCTCTAAAGACTGCAAGCCTCCCCAGATGAAGTCACAGCTTACCTCTGCTCTTTGCAGCTGTAGTCTCTTTGGGTTTGCTTTTAGCTGTCTCTTTGTGGTTCTCAGAAGGCAAGGAATTCCACCTCTTCTGGGCTGAAACAGGCACCACGGGGATAGCGGGCAGCTTCACACGCCACTCAGGCCCAAGTGAGTCCATGAGAGCTCTGGTTATTCTGGAAGGGAAAGAAGAATTGCAGGTTAAGGCCCCTTCCCAAGTCCTGAGTGATCATCCTCCCCTTGTTTGGAACCATTTGTCTCCATCTCCCAACATATTCCAACAGAGGAATGGGAGTCTGCCGTACACAAGCTCCTTCTTAGATCAGATACCATGCACTCCTTCCCCTAGTTTGGTCACCATATGTGAACTTGAAAGTGGTCTGTGGCTTGTCAAGGACACTTAAACTTTGTCCTCCAAAGATACACACTCCAAGAAAGGTTCCCATGTTTTGTTTTATATCTGCTCAATGAAACTAGTAAAAGCCATGAAGTGCCTGACATTTAATTAATGCTTAGGGTTTTTTTGGTCTTTTTTAGGCACGGTCTCCCTGTAGCCCTAGTTGGTCTGGAAATTGCCATATGGACCAGGCTGGCCTTGAGCTCAGAGATCTGCCTGCCTCTACCTTCCAAGTGCTGGGATTAAAGCCATGTGCCACCATACCCAGCTTTGGACCTTTTTTTTTTTTTGAGACAGGGTCTCCCTGTAGCCCCAGCTGGCCTGGAACTTACTATGTAGACCAGGCTGGCCTTGAACTCTGAGATCCACCTGCCTCTGCCTCTCCAGTGCTGGGTTTAAAGGTGTGCATCACCACGCCTGGCTCAGATTTTTTAAGTGTTGCTCTTAACCCATTCTGCAATCCTAAAACCTCCAGTGGTTTCCATTTCTATAGGCAAACATGGCCAGTGAGATCTGGCACCCTCCCTCCTCTCCACTTTTACTATAAGCTATGTTCCCTCCTGATCCTTGGGCTGGCTGTGTGGCTCAGTGGTAGAGTATTGACCTGCATGTGCAAAGCACTGACTTTGATCCTCAGCACTGCAAAAACGGGCAGACTCCCTCTGGCATGTTCCTTATGTACATATTTTTCCCCTCTACTTTAAACAACTTCTACTTTCCATTCCCATCTTGTTGCTCCAGGTAATTCCTTAATTTTCAACTTACTTCCAGCACCTAGCATATCACTCAGCCCACCAAAATATAGTAAATATGCACTACATGAGTGACCAAAGCTCCTAGGCCAGGATTCACAGCCTCCCAGTAGGCTTTAGAGCCTCTTTTCTGCTAGGCCTAGCCATTCAACCTCCCCGGCCCTATTCCCTAACCTCCTCTTTATTCAAAGCACTCTTCCTCATACTCCAACACAAGCCTACCACCAGCCTGGGTGCCCGTGATGGTTAATTTCAATTATCAACTTGATGAGATCTAGAATTACCAGAGACAAGTTTCTGGGCATGCTTGTGAGGGATTATCTTGAGTAGGTTAACTGAGGTGAAGACCCTCTCATTGCCTGGGTTTGGGTCCTGGACTGTATGAAAAGGAGAGAGTAGGCCGAGCACCAGCCTTGGTCTCTCTGCTTCCTAACTGCAGGTGCCATGTGAGCAGCTGCCTCAACCTCCTGCTGCAGGCCCATCTCACCATGCTGCTTGGTCCTTGAACTGTGAGCCAGGACAAACCCTTCCTCCTTTAGACTGCTTGTCAGGAAAATTATCACAGCAACAAGAGAAGAGACTGGGACAGTGTTCAATTGCTTCTGTTTCTCTCCTGTCGCATGGTGGAGACAGAGGCAACCCCCTCAGGTAAACTCTGGGTCCCATTTATCTCTCTCAGGGGCCTCACATTACATACGTGAGCTTCCTTTCCTATACCTGCAGCGTTTCTTCCAGTTGATCCCACAGTAAAGAGTCTCTTGGCTCACTTAATAAGACCCTCCTGGGCACCACTCCTGCTAAGCTCCTCTGCCTCCCTCAAAACCAGACCTTTTGAACTGGCTTCTGACCCACTGAGCTGCTTCCCTTGGCTTCACTACTGACTTCACTCTAAATCCTTAGTCTACTTGGGTTAGCTGAGAACACCTGACACTAACGTCTCCAACCTTCATGAAATACTTTCCTTGGGACACTAAGTGCCTCACATTTCACCCACCTCTCCAGCTAGACTCCGTAAGTCCCTCAAATGGTAGCTTCTCAAAGTCCCATCCTCCCCTGCACTCGTGGTGTTCTTGCCTCCTGTCTTGTTTTCTCAATCTACCTTTTGGCTGCTTCCCCTCAAGTCTCCAGGCCTGGCCCTCACCTTTTCTGCTTGACTTCAAATACATGTACATGTCAACCGCCTTCCTCACATCTTTGTCTCCTGTCCTGCAGGGAGTACCGTCAGTACGCCAACAGCCTGGATGTCTTCTTCTGTTCTTTCCCTCTCAGTCCCCACCCACCCTTAGGGCTTGCTGTTGTCTTTCCTAAGTGTCTCCTGACTGTCCCACTGTTCTTTCTCCCCTTTCCCCTGGACTGCTGTCCCCTTCCTACTGTTCTTTATCAAGCTGTCCTTCAACATAGTATGCAACTGAGAACTTCTCCAATACAAATCTGCTTATGTTGCTACACGGTTAGATATATTTTCACAATGCCTCCTTACTCTCTCAGTATTAAGTCCAAGGTCCTGAACAATATGCTCTGTGTGACCTGCCTTCAGCAACTTGACCCAAGCTAAGTTCACATGCAGCACCATCTGAGACGGGCTGCTCATAATTCCTGTCACACCTCAAGCCCACTCCCTGTGCACAGGTTACTCTTTCTCCTTGCTGGTTCCAGCCCAGATCGGTTTCTCTCATACTTGGTTCACGTCCCTGAAAAGCCCATCTGGCCTCCTCCCTAGCTGGCTGGGTACCTCCCTCTGTCTTGGCAGCTCTTTGTGCTGCACTGAAGTTGCTAGTCCCTCCAAGGCCAAGAGCTGAACAAGGACAGAAAGAGGTATTCTCATTCAGCAGCCCCAGTCCTTGTACAATGCCTTGTGCACAAGTGGTAGTTTGTTGAATGACAGAAAGTAAAACGACTCGAAGAGAAAACAGGATACTGACAAAAGCCAAGCAAGAAGCCAAGCACACAACACACTGCTTGCTATTAGTTTGGTCCTCGGCTTTCTAACAACACACAGAGAGGACTCCTGATCAGTTATACAAACAAGGGTATCCAGGAGATAAAAACCATGCTCAGGAGACCAGAAAGATGTTTAACCTGAGCAGCCTCAAGGTCATACGACATCCTGAACCATACAAACAACAGCCTTCAGGTTTTGTCCCGGCTGTTTGGGTTATCTTTCTCCCAGGCAGGAGGCTCTCTGAACACAAGTTGGCTCTGAATCTCTCTATTTTGCCATTCTCTACCGAAAAGCCCCTCAATAAATATTATTGAGGAAACGAATGTGCACATGTAGGAAAAAAAAAAGATCAATCTCAGAAACTCTTCTTTTAAAGACTGACTTTATCAGCTGGGGGTGGTGGAACATGTCTTTAATCCCAGTCCTCGGGAGGCAGAGGCCAGTGGACGTCTGTGAGATGGAGGCCAGTCCTACATAGCAAGCTCTAGGCCAGCCAGGGCTACAGGGAGACGCTGTCTCAGAACAAAACAAAAAACTTTATTCAGTTTATTATTTTTAATTATGTGTATATGTGTATGCATTTGTACACATGAAAGCCAATGCTTACAGAGGCCAGAGGTGCCAGATCCCCCTGGAGCTGGAATCACGGGAAGGTGTGAGCCATCCAACATAGGTGCTGGGAATCAAACTTGGGTCCTCTGGAAAGAGCAGCAAGTTGCACCATCTCTTCAGCCTCAGTAACCCTGACTCTTTAACATCTGCTAAGTTTAACAGCAGATTCTCCTTGTATACTTGCTTTCACATGCTGTGCAAGCATAAGGACCTGAGTTTGGATACCTAGCACTCACATAAAGAGCTGAGAGTGGTAGTGCATGCCTGGGGAGGCAGAGCCCATAGCGTCCCTGGAACTTGATGCCCAGTCAAGTGTAGCCAAATTGGTGGACTCTGGGTTCAGTGAGACTGTCTCAAAAAAAAAAAATAAGGTGGAGAGTGATAGAAGAAGGCACCTGACATCAACCTGTAGCCTCCACATGTGTGTATGCACCTTCACACACACATATACCCACATGAGCATGTATACAGGCATATACCATACACACATAGAAATGAAGGTTTTTCAAAGTTTAGTCAAAGGGACTCCACGCACAAGACAAAGCAATGGAGCGATGCCATTCGGGGGTACAGGTTCCATGGAGAAGTTCTGTGGTGCTTTTCCATGGAGAAGTTCAACAGGCTCACCTGTTGATGCCTTCCAGGGCCGATGCCACACTGTTATCAATCTGTAGCACAGTTTTGTAGTCAACATAGGCCAGAGGGTACTTCTCCAGGGCTTCATAGGCAGATGCCCGTCGCAGCAAGGGCTTGATGCTGAAGGGAACCAAGGCCAGTGCTCTAGAACAGAAGGCAAAAATGTCATCTGTCTGCTAGAACATGCCTCTCCAAAGTGACCTCAGGGCAGGGTCATCTCCAGCAGTCAGTATAGCAGAGGTCATTTCAGGCAGACACTCTAGACTTTTCCACTTAGATTGAATTAGGAAAGGAAAGAGAGCAGAGAACCACTAACTGAAAGGAACGTGCCTATGTATCAACTTTCGGAGTTCTGCCCCCAAAGAAAGAACAAGAGATTCATAGCTTTCATGCTACCATGTTTCCATACCGTGGTTCAGTGGGCACAACAAACAGGCTGAGGGTTGTGTTTGGATTCTACCTTTGATACCACCAGTCATGCAACCCTAGGCAAATCACTTCACTGTCCCAATGTTTGGCAGCTTAGTTCTGCCCTGAGGAGGAGGCAGAGTGAGTACTCTGGGAAAGCAAGCTAGCACAGGCTCCTCAAGCACACGGCCCTCTTGTGCCTCCGTCTACCACTTAGCATGCATCTAAAACAACGGCACGTCTAAGAAGAACCCAGTCAGGAGATGAAGGCTAGCCTGAAGAATGAGATAGGAAAAACTCTTCAGTGTGCTATAAAACTGGTTGCTGACATTTTCATTTCTTACATTCTCTTTGCTTCTTTAGACAACCTATTCACATCTCTTCTCTCCGTCCTCCCTCCGCCCTCCCTCCATCTTCTTTCTTTCCCTTACTCTTCCCTTTCACCCACATCCATCTCAGAAAACACCGTGAGCCAAGAAAGTCAGTCACTGGTCTCCAACTCTACTTCACCCATGTGTCAAGTCTCATAGAGGCTTTAAGGCCTGCTTCTAACTTCTCATTCTACTCTTGCTCAGAGCCAAAACTCCAAAGACAAGAAGGACCCAAGACAGCTTCTCATTCTAAGTGGTCTGGAGATAGTTAGTGACAATTTCTAGTATCTGTCACAGATAAAACAGTGGGATTCTTCCAAAGAAGAAATCAGCCAGAAAATCCCAGTTTCTTCTTCTGACAACCCCAGGGATCCCAAAGCCACCCTGGGCCACTTACGAGGTGCAATCTTTGATGCAGTCTGTGCAGTTCCCATCCTTCAAGTGACATGCTGCACGGTTTGAATAGAGAACACTTTCCTCTTGAGGGTCTGGAGAACCTGTCCAGGTGGAGGCAGAAGAAGAAAATCACGAGTTGGGGAACAAGATGTCAGAGGACATAGGGATGTAGGCAGCAGGGATGACTGCAACTTAACCAGGCTTATACACCGGGTGGGCTGGCACGCCTCTCATTCCTATGGCGGTGGGGACAATGAGGTTCCTCCATTCTCAGGAAACTAAGTAGTTCCATTTCAGTGCTTGTTTGACACCAGACAAAAGATAAACATGAAATAGCTGGTCTCTGCCCCAAAAGAAAGCCATGTTCCAGTTAGCTATGGGGTTAATTTTATTGCAAAAAGCATGGAAAAAAGTAAAGGACAAGAACAGTACACGAAACACCAGAAACACAGTGTGACCAAGAGTTGGAAGGACCCGAAAGCCGGAGAGTAGTTAAGCCAGGACTCTGGAGAATTAAATCTGAAGAAGACTTGAGCTAGCTAAAGGGAAAAGGTATTAGTCATTTTTCTAAAGGCAATCCTAACCCTCAGGAATCACAGAAGCTCAAGCCTCTCACTATAACCATAATGACTTTCATTTTGAAAATTGATTTATTGTGTATGTGTGCATTTGTGCACATGCAGGCACCAAGGCATGCATGTGGAGATCAGAGGGTAACCTGGAGGAGCTGGTCCTCTCCTTCCACCATGTGAATTCCAGGTGGTGAGGCCTGGCAGTTAAGTGCCTTTACCTGCTGAGTCATCTCACTGGACTCCAGATTTTCATTTTCAAAGATAATTTTCACTGGGCATAGTGGTTCATGCCTTTAATCCCAGCACTTGGGACACTTGGGAGGCAGAGGCAGGAAGGTCTCTATGAGACCAAGGCCAGCTTGGTCTACACAGCAAGTTCCAGGTCATCTGGGGTTACAAGAAGACTCTGTTTCAGAAAAAAAAAAAAGAAAAAAGAAAAAAGAAAAATTTCAACAATATTTAACATAAAAGAAGAAACTAGGTGGTGACTAAGTAACTCTACTCTTAGACATGTATTCCAAAGAAATGAAATTAGGGTCTTACTGCAAATTTAGCAAAAATTTTTCCTCCCTCCTTTGCTTGCTGTTTATCTCAGATTGGCACTGAACTAGCAAATTTCCTACCTCAGCCTCCCAAGTGCTCAGGCGAGAGATGTGTACACCACCACACCCAGCTTCCTTTAACTCATTTTTTAAAAAAATTTTAGTTTTAGACAATGTCTCATTATGTAGCCAGGCTGGCCTTTAATTTGTAATAATCCTCTTGTTCCAGCTTCCTGAGTGTTGGGACTACCGGTGGGAACCATCACACCAGAATTTATTTTATTTATTTATTTTTGAGACAAGGCCTCACTATGTAGTCCTGGTTGCCCTGGACATTATTTTTGAAATGACTAAACCTCTACCCATCCTCACTCATCCTGATCCCAATGTTCCCTCCACAGAGGTCAGCAGCATCCTGAAGCTGGTGTGTAAGCAATTCCCAATTTACTATGTATCACTCACAGGTAAGCTACAGCATCATTCATGTCTATTAACTGTTTCCTAAGTGGCATCAGATTGCCTATCATTTTGCAATTTGTTTCTTTCAGGAAGGATCATGATACCATGTTGATATTTTTAGATCTTTCATTCAATATCAATGATAACAAATAAATTAATAGCCTCTTCCCTTTTATCTTGGGGCCAGAAAATACAAAGGTTAAAGTAAAACACATCCTTGTCTCCAGGAGCAAGTAAAAATACTCAAAACCTGTAATCCATCTCAAGTCACCAGAGCAGAGCTCCTGATGAGCAGGGGTGTGCTGGGAAGGTCATCGGAACCTACAAGCCAGCTGCTGAGCCTACAAAAGTCACTCAACCCTTCTGAGCATGTGTGCTCCCCAACCACAGGAAGGCAATGCTTCGGAGACTCACTGCGGGGCTCCCCGTATGATGATGCTCCCTGTGCTTCTCTCAAGGCTAAGAAAAATGATCAAAGTCAAGAGAATTGCCCACATGTTACCTAGAAAATCAGTAGTAGGATCAGAACCAAACCCTAGTAAACTTAAACCCCAGGGCAACTGTTCTAGGGTCTCCAGATAAACCCACACAAAGGCACAGGGTTTCCAGGCTAGCAGTGTGTATGGGTAGGTAGGGAAAGGGGCAGAGAATGGAAGAAGAAACAGCCCCTCAGGGTCTTCAGCAACTTCCGGCAGTGAGAATGGCATGTGGTGAGCTTAAAGAGGGTTTTCAGGAAGGGGTTAAAAAGGGAGTAGCTTGATGCTGCAAAGTTGTTAAACAAAAGACTGGAATTTTGAGATTTGTGGATGTTCTAGATAGCTTCCAGTTGCTGTGACAAAACACTGATCAAAACCAACTTGTGGAGGAAATGGTTTATTTGGCTTTCAGCACAATTCATCAAGAGAAGCCAAAGTTACTTTAAAAACAATTAGGGCAGGACACTGGAAGCAGGATCCTGGAGGCAGGAGCTGAAGCACAAGCATGGAGGAATGCTGCTTACTGGCTTGCTCCTCTCCCCCATGCTCAGCCTGCTTTCTTATTCAACACAGGACAACCTGCTCAGGGGTGGTACTGCCCACAGTGGACTGGGACCCCCCCACATCACACAATTGTCAAGAAAATGCCCCCGCATGGCTACAGGCCAGTCTGAAGGAGGCAATTCCCTAGTTGAGGCTCCCTCAACCCAGGTGTGTCAAGTTGACAACTAAAGCTGTCCAGCACAGATAGCTATCCGAAGTCTAGATTAAAACTTTGGACTTAGGGGCTAGAGAGAGGGTTCAGTGGTTAGGAGCACTGACTGCACCCTGGTTTGCTTCCCAGTACCACATGGCCACTGACAACTGTCCATAACTCGTTTCAGGGGATCTGGCCTCTAAAGTCACCAGGCACACACCTGGTGCACATATGTACATGAAGGCAAAACACTCATACACAGAAAATAAAATGAATATTTAAAAATATTTTGGGACTTAGCAATTAGATAAATTCATATTCAAACCCTGGCTCTAACATATCTTCCCTGTGTAATCCTGGTTGGGCAAGTTAATTCTTCTGAATTCCTCATCTTCAAGTGTCTTAGACAAAGACAACGTCCATGTCTAGCACATGGCATTCAGCAAATGCTAGTTAGGAAGGCAAGGCAACCTACAGAAAACTCGCCTGCAAAGCCATCCTCAAATGTCAAAGGTTTAACCAATGGGTCTGGATAAGGCATTCTGGAACCAGTGATGGGTACAAGTGAGCCAGAGGCTAGGGGAATTGGTGATATGCTAGTCTTCGGTTTAAAATTCTTCCAGTAGATCCTCATTAGGGGATACGATTTCAACTCTTACCAGGGATTAAAACAGTTTCACAGTAAGGTTCTGCCACCTCGTCTTAACCATTCCGCCAGTGGCTCGTTGTTTTCATACTCCGGATTCTGCGTGGGTCCTTTCCGATGGTTGTTCCCCTACTCGTGGGATGCTTCGCACCCCTTTCGCTGGGCCTGACACCACTTCTAAGAAGCTGTCCCTTTCTAAAGGAGTCAACGACTACCACATTACTTAATATCTCAGAGGTCCTGTTTAGTTACTTTAAAGACAATTAGACCCTGGAAAGGACCCTATTTGGCGAAATACAGTCAGTATACAAAAGCGACTCAACAAATACTCATTGAATTGTAAAATGCATAGCTGTGGGCAAGGTGGGCTCAGCTACATCCGCAGGGGTCAGAGGGAGGCCTGAGTAACTAGGATGCCAGCCATGAGAGCAGTTCAAAGGCAGGCGGAAACCAAAGGGCCGAGAAGTTTCCCTTGGGATGATGGAGAAGTCAGAAGTGGCCGGGAGCGTGGTGGGAGGGGCTGGCGCGGCGGTTGCCGTGGGGAAAGGAAACCCTGGAAACCCGGGTTAGAGGGGTGGAGGAAGCAGGCCCGGGGGCAATTCGGGGCAGGCGCCTACCTCGTGCCTGCAGCAGCCGCAGTGCACTCTCGTACAGCGCCGAGGCCTCGGCGTACTGGCCGTTGCGGAAGCTCTGGTTGCCGGCAGCGCGGAGCCCCTCCACAGAATCTGAGGGTTTCGGGGCCATCCCCGGGAGCAACTCCGCTGCCCGCACCCACGCTCCCGGCAAGTCGTACGAACGGCTTCCGGGCGGAAGCACCAGCTGCGTGCACTCTGGTCCAGCAACTGACTGGCTTTGAGGGACCCGGTAGGCGTCTGGGGCGGGGCTAGCCGTCTGGGGCGGGGCTAGCCGTCTGGGGCGGGGCTAGGCGGCCTGGAAGGGCGGGGTCAGGCGTCTGGGCGGGGCTAATTGACCGGGAAGGGCGGGACTAAGTGTCTGGGGGCGGGGCTAGGGGTCAGGGGTGAGGCCTTTGTGAACCTTAGGCCCGTGGAGCCCAGCCCTCTGCGCGTGCTCAGTCTGGAACTTCTGCTCCACCTGCGTAAAGCCCGTGGAGCCCCGCCGGCGCTTGGGGTGCCCGTGGACAACTGGGCGTGAAGCTGGTAAGAAAGGAAGCCGATGTTCTCGAGGACCCAACAGGCGATTAACTAGTGAGCAGGTGAAGACGCAATTTCATCATGTGATTAGTACTGTAAAGAAATAGTGCGTGGTGGTGCACCCCTATACTCGCGGCACCAGGTGGCTTGCTACAAGTTCGAGAACAGCATGGTCTACACATAGTGAGACAGGACTCACAGTGAGATCCTGACTGAAAAAGACCACACACCCACACAAAGAAAAGAACACAAAACAATGCTCTTACTAAAAACATTAAAAGTAGAAACAGAAATGAAACAAACCCTCAAACAACTGGGTGTGGTGGCTCAGGTCTGCGATCCCACCAGTTGGGAGGCTGAGGCAGTAGGAAGTGTGAGTTCGAGGCCAGCCTGGGATGTATGATGAGCCCCTGTGTTAAAACACAATTGTATTACAGGAAATAAGCATGTGGGGGCTGTTTCATATGAGCAGGCTGAGGAACGACCTCTGAAGGTAATAACTGAGCTGAGACTTGAGAAAAGCCGACTTAGTGCAAAGGCCCTGAGGCTAGAAAGTGCTTGATATCTTGTAGACCATGCTGTTGGTTTAATGAATAAACGGCCATACAGATGAAGCAAGACCTTTATTGAGGCTGACTTCAGTTTATCTCCATCCCTATCTGAAGTCTCTCCCATTCAGTAATCCAGTTTTTAAAAATATCTTTGGACAGAGAGATGACTCAGCAGTTAATAGTGTTTACTGTTTTTGAAGAGGACCCGAGTTCAGTTCTCAGCACCCAAGTCAGGCAGCTTACAATGGCCTGAAACTCCAGTTCCAGGGGGATTGGAGACTAAGCACCTGCTTTCACATTTACATACCTGCACAGAGACATGCACAAACACATTCTTTTTTTAAAGTCTCTTTGATGAGGTGAATATGATCAAAATGCATTATATACATGTATAAACTTTCAAAATATTTAAAAAACCTCTTTGATACATTGAAGTCCTCTTGCCTCCGAGCCTTTGCTTTTGTCATCCTGTCTCCTGGAATTCCTTTCCAAACACTGTCTCCTGCCTAGTCCTGCATCAATTATGACATCGGAATAACTTAAACATTATCTCTGAAAGCCTTCCCTGATACCCCTAACCCCAACCCCTGTGTCCCTCCTATGTTTTCTATTGGTTCTTAGGGTGACTTCTAATTATTTTAACCATCACTTTAGAGTTTTCCTCTTTGACTTGCGAGGTCTTTAAGGGCAGAAGAGGTTATTTTGTCTCTCCAAAATCTAATAGGATCTAGCACCCAGCATGATTGTGTCCCTCAAAGCCTATGTAGAAAACTTTTTATTCTTCAAGATGATGTTTTAGGAGGTAGGGCATTTGAGAGGTAATTAGGTTAAAGAAAAAGAGCCTTTATGAATGGGATCAATGTCCTTTTAAAAAGTCTCAATGATGGGTTCCACCATGTGAGCACACAGAAAGTACCATCTGCCATCTATGAAGTAGAAAGGGTTGTCTGCACCAACACTACATCTGCTGGTGTCTTCATCCTAGGCTTCCGGTACCTAAAATTTTGAGAAATTTCTGATGTGTGTGAGCTACCTATTTATATTTTTTATAGCAGCCCAAACAGACTAAAACAGCCTGCGTTGGAAATTACTCCAGTGTAAATTGACCAATCATGATCCAGGTAACTGTTCTAGTTCCCTTTCTGTTGCTGTGATGAAACACTCTAACCAAAAGCAGCTTAAGGGAGAAAGAGTTTGACTTAAACTTCTAGCTCACAGTCCATCTTTGAGGGAAGTCAGGGAAGGAACTCAAGCAAGGAACTTGAAACAGAAACCACGGAGGAACACTGCTTGCTGGCTCACTCACTCACTGGTATTTAACTAGCTTTCTCCTACGGCCCAGACCACCTGCTCAGGGAATGGCACTGCCCATAGTGGTCTGGGCACTCCTACATCAATGAACAGTTAAGACAATCCCTACAGACATGCCCAGAGAGCAACCTGATAAAGACAATTATTCAATGACTCTTTTTCAAGTGATTCTAGGCTGTGTCAACTTTACAGTTAATGCTAACTAGAATACCATTCTATCCCCTGAACTATGATTTTTCAGCCTCATGCTTTCAAGTCAACACATAAAACTATTGGCTGAGTCTGAATCATTCAAATGAAATGTTGAGACTTCTAACACATTTTTACTCCTCAATGTTCTCTTAATTAAGGAGGATAGGGATGCTGTTTAAAGAAACTGTTGACAGTTTCCCTGTAAAGAGAAAAAAGATCTATTCAATGATCCTGCCTGTGTGAATTAGCCCACAAGGGAGTCTATATCTGGTAGGCTTTATTACTTTCCCAGGGAAGCTGAATAAATATTAAACATAACTTTGATGAAGCAGTTAACTTTGAAAGTTCTTAATGTCAGACTCACCTCCTGATCAAAAGTAGACCTAATCCAAATGTCCATCAGACTCTAAGTAGATAAATTAAAATGGGCAGCCAGAATGTATACAGTGGAACACACCTACTCCATTATGTTTGGTCAAAGTTTGCTGTTTATATTTGAATTAAATAATTTAAATCAGATTACAATTTTTTTAGTGATGCTATCACAAATCCCTAGTGGATACTCTAAAAACTTCTAAATGACTTTTAAAAATTATTTTTAAAAGTATTTATTTTTATTTTTATGTGTATGAATGTATTGGATTCCCCCAGAGTTGGAGTTATGGATGGTTGTTAGCCGCCATGTGGGTGCTGAGAATCGAACTGTATCCACTGCAAGAGCAGCCAGTGCTCTTAACTGCTGAGCCATTTCTCCTGCCCCTTATTGCTTTTTATGTGTATGAGTGTTTTGCTTCCACACATGTAAATGTACCACATGTGTCCAATGCATGTAAAGGCCAGAAATGGGCATCAGCTCCCCTGGAACTGGAGTTATGGATGGTTGGGGTTTCTGAGACCCCAACCCTGGTAATTTGCTGAGCCAGCCAGCCCCTTTGTGGCTATTCTTTTGGACAGTTCTTATAATAGGTTATTTCCAACACTGCAGACATTTGTATTGGGCAGTTCTGGGTGGAACATATTGAGGAAGAGAGGCCTTTGTCCACCAAGTGGAAAAACCCTAGAAGGGAACCACTGATGATGTTATGTTTGCCATTGTATATTGAGGCCAGAGTTCAAGTAGGTGAGCAGTAGAAAACCATGGAAACCCTCAGGCATGTGTGCCTGGAGCAACAACTCTTCAAACAGTAGAACAAGATTTAATTAACAGTTCTTAGGTGTGGTGGTGTACAGCTGTAATCCTACTGCACTTGGGACACTGCAGTGGAAAATCAGGAGGAAAATCAAGAATTCCAAGCCAGTCTGGGCTACAACAATGAGACCCATTCTCAACAAAAAGGCAAACTAATATATGCTAATAAAAAAAACTAAAAAAGGAGCTGGAGAGACGCCTCATGGCTCATTGGTTAAGAACACTGGCTGCTCTTGCAGAGGACCTGGGTTTGAATCCCAGCATCCACAGGCAGCTAACAACCGTCTGTAACTCCAGCACCAGGGGATACAATGCCCTTCTGTCCTCCGCGGGCATTGCATGACACGGGTGTGCCTACATACATGAAGGTATAACGCTCAGAAAATAAAAATAAATTTAAAAACTAAAAAAGAGAAAAAAAGCCTAAAGAGAAAAAACAAAAAAAAACCCGAAACTGAAAAAGAAAATTAAAAAAACCCAAATAAACAAAAAACCCTAAAAATAAAAGCAAAAAGCCCCCCCAATTCTTATGAAACAGGTGCTTCCGCTAGAAGCCTCATTATCTGAGAAATGGGGGGACCCGGAGGTGGGGTAGAAGTCTCATTATCCTTGAAATGGGGGGGACCCAGAGGTGGGGTCGGGGGAATGCAACTTCAGGCCAACAGCGAGTCAAGGGGGTCGCTAACACGCCAGCCGCCAGAGGGCGCTCTAGAGGCGCGGCTTCACCAGGGCACCACGTGACCCACGCCGCGCTTCTCTCCCCACCCCCTCCTCCTCGCGGCTCTATGGCGTTCCAGCGCGACTTCCGGTAGGAGCAGAAAGCGGAAGTGTAGGAGGGCTTGCGGGGCGGGCTCGAGGAGGGCCGGGAAAGGATGGATCTCTGAGGCGGTCTGGGCCGCTGCGGCAGTGCCATGGAGACCGTGCAGCTGAGGAACCCGCCGCGCAGGTGAGGGGAAGAGCGTGGGATGCGTAGGGAAGGGCGGGGACTGGCGGAGGGGAGCCGACCCTGTTGGAACTTGGCGCTGGAGGGACCCGCGGGGCCGAAGACCCTGCCGGAGGAGCACCTGCTGACGGACGGGTCGCGGGAGCATCCGACGCCGGCATGGACGCGGGCTTGGTTAGGGGAGCACTCACTTGGGGGACTCCTGAGCAGTGTTCGGACAACTTGGGGAGACGCCGTCCCAGGGGAGGCTCTCCGAGAAGGGAGCCGAGGAGACGGGTGAGGAGGCCCGGGCAGAGCCCGCGATGGCTGGCAGAGAGCTAGGGGGTGGACTCGGTGGGGCTCCCAAGTCCCACAGGAGTGCAGCTCTGATGCTGAGGCAGAACTGGTTTGCAACATTTATTGGAGGTCCATCCTATAGCTAGTAAGGGGTCCAGGTGGAATTTTAATGACCTGGTGGTCTGGTCCAAAGTCCCCGTTCTTACTGCCTTCCCCTGACGTCTCTCTGGAAGTACCAAGTTTCATGGGTCATTGTGTTGAGGGGTCTAGTAATGGAGAGGATTGGGGAGGATAGCATTTTCCAAGGATGTTCTCGGTGGGTTGAGGATGGCCCCTTTTATTTCTGATGTCCTGAGTAGTCGCCCTAATTTCTTAACATCCTTCTCAGCCCTTCAGAACTCAATATTGGGACGTAGATAAGGAAATAAAATGTCCCAGGATGAGCAAGCTGAGGTCCAGCAGTTTAGACACAGTGGATCCCAGCCAGACCTTTTCAAGCTACTGTTTTGAGACGCTCGGCTTCTAGCTGTTGTTGATCGAGATAAAAGTGACTAATCTAACCTAGGCAGTCTGAGCTCTTGGACTGGTTGCAGTCGTGTCACTGATTTCCCCTGTGGACGCCAGGGGCTTGGATCACTCTTCTTCATCTTGAGAAAAGTAGAGAGCAGAGACTGAGCAAGTCATGCTTCTCTGAGATGCAGTGTAGTTAAAACTTAGGTTTCACAGAGAAGACATCTGACTTCCTGCGGCAGAATGAACACTAAAATAGGAAGTGCTCAGTGTATGGGAGTGCCCCACCACCCAGAGGTGAAGGGAGGGCTTGAAAGCCTGGCCAGCACTCTTGGGGGTTGTTTGAAGTACACAACCGTGGAATAAGGCAAATAGCTTGTGGGGATGGGCTCATGATTCACTGCATAGTGTGTTTGGAGTAAGGGCCACGATTATTGCGTTCCTAGAATACCCTTTCAGGGCGCCGGGCTCTGCCCTAAGTGCGTTCCATGGCTCCTGTTGAACCATATGAAATTGTTATTTGACCTTTTTTGAACTGTAAAAATGGTACTGACTCGCTGAGCCTTCTCAAGTATATAAGGAAGGTAGCTTTATAACTCTGCTTTACAGATGATAAAGCCTACTTTATTGGAGGTTCCATAGTAAGAAGAGAGTTACCCTGGTGGTCTGGTCTGATACCCTTGCTGGTAACTGCTTAACTCTTGACATTTCTCTCGTAGTACCTTGCTTCATGGTCATCATATGTGGACCCTAGCGGATATTTACTATAGCACCACAGTGATCAATTATGCATGGACACTGCTCCTTTTCTTCTAAAATTCATTTTTTCTTCCTCTTTGGTTTTCTTTTTCAAAGACCTTCACTTAATGGAAATGAGAATTAGGAATCTGAATTTAGTTTCTGACTCGCTTTGTGTTGTGGAATCTTGGGCATAGGGGTAAATTTGTTTTTGTTTTTGTTTTTTTGCTTTCGACATTGCTCATTCCTAACACCTTTTGGATTTTGAAAAGTGTAATAAAGTGCAAGAGGAGCGTCACAGACTGAATTCTTTGCTGCCTGGTGAGGCCTTGCTCATTGCTAGCTAGTGGACTGCTTAGTTTTAATTTGCAGCAGAGTTTTAATATCATGTGTATTAATAGATTAGGACTGCTACCACATGAGCCACAGCTGGGTGGTTTAAACAACAGAAACAGATTTTCTCACTATTCTGGAGGCTGGAAGTTTGAAATCAAGTGTGATGGCAGAGTTGCTTTTTGAGGTCTTGCTCTTTGGCTTATAAATGTCCATCTTTTCTGTGTCTTCATATGATTGTCCTTCAGTACCTGTATGTCCTCGCCTGTTCTCTTACAAAGTCACCAGTCATCTGGGATTTGCGCCCATCTGATGGCCTCATTTTATTTTAATTATCTCACTAATGGTCCTTTCTCTAAATGCAGACTCATATTCTGAGGCTCTAATAGGATTTGCATAAATGAATGGAAGAGGGGGCACAGTTAATTCTGTTACCTCTTTTTGGTGGTTCTTTCTTTGTTTTGAGAGAGTCTCACAGTGTAGGGCAGTTCTCCTGCTTCAGTCTCCAGAGTGGTGATTACAGGGAGGAGCCACCAGGCATTGTTACTAAAACATTTCAGTTTATCCTTCATATTTAGTGTAATCTATATCAAATTCTGCTAGAGAGGTAGATATACATAAATACAGTGAGCCTTTTGAGAGTTCTGAGATGGGACAGAGGACTGAGAATTAGCCAGATCTCTGAGTGACCACTTAATAACATCATTTCTTGTGTTTGGATAGATATCTCTGTCTTTTGAGAGATTCAGATGATGTGCATTTCCAACTGTCTTAGCGCAGGAAATGCTCTTTGTATTCATGAGCTTGACATTTGTGCATGACTCAGTGACTGATGATAGATTGGTGTCTTCCATGGGAGTTAGTGGTTTTAAAATGTTACCATTAGGTAATAGTATAGTGGGAGACTTAGAGTGCATTCCTGGGATGCCATCCATGTGGTCATCTGACTTAGGAAAGGAACATCCACCAGTATTTGGTCATGTTCTTCTATTGGCCAGACCTGTTCATTACGAGCAAGAACTAAAACTGGGGTTGGATGCCCTTGCTTAGTGAACCACATCACCACAGTTAGGCCATTTGGGTAACAACAGCACATGTTCCCTGAAGACTCAGAATCACTTGGCAAAAGATTTTCCATAGAAATCTTATTTGTTGGTTACCTACTAATACACTTTATTTTTATTTACTTTTTTGGTCTTTTTGAGACAGGGTCACCCTGTAGCCCCAGTGCCTGGCACTTGCTATGTAGACCGGGCTGGCCTCGATCTCACAGAGACCTGCCTGCCTCTTCCTCCCAAGTGGTAGGACCAAAGGCGTGTGCTGGCTTACCAATACGTTTTAGAGGGAATTTTACTTTATTTTGATAACTCTGAGATTGCTATTAAAGTTGATGATTGCCATCCCTACATTGTTTAATCCATTTAGAAAATGTTTTCTGACCATCTCTTGGTTACTGGGCACCAGAGATGTAAGCTCCTTTAAGTTTACATTGTTTTAAATAACTCTAGATCAAAGACAGAACAAAACAAAACCCTCCCACTTAGGTTGTTTAAAAGAGGAATGCTAGCAATCATACTGTTTGTCAAAGTATTATCAGAGTCTTGCAACTGTATCTTATGGCAGTGGCCATTTCCTCTGTTGTGTGATCTCTGAAATAGTGACTTTTGCTTTTGTTAAACTATAAGAGTCCATATTTCAAAGAAACACATTTGATCTTCTTTATATAAGCTGTTTATAAGGTTTGTACTTGATTAATGAGGTATTGTCCTTTGTGCATGCAATTATTATTGGGGTTTTACCAGAAAAGCCCCTGCCGTATGAGCTCTTGACTTAATTTCTGAGTTCATAGAAATTTCAGTTCTGATGTTTGAGAGGAGTTTCACTTCAGCCCTTTTTGTCTGGAAGCTGAGGGTTTTTATGAAGTCATTGGAATTTCATTTTTCAGATCTTTGAGTTTTCAAATGTCAGTGTAGTCAGTGTGTTAAGTTGATCTTTAAGTCAAGGCACTGACTTTCTACGCTTCTCCATTTCTCTGTGTTCAAAAAATTCCCCAGGATTGCCCTTTGTGCTCAGGGTTTAACGGTAGGTATACTTGATGTAGTCAGGCTTTTTTTCTACTTCTGACTTTTTAAAATTTTTTAAAAAATTTTATTTTATGTGTATGCGTGTATTGCCTACATGTAGGTAAGTGCACCTGTGTCATATACTGCCCAAGGAGGCTAGACGAGGCTGTTGGATCCTCTGGAACTGGAGTTACAGACAGTTGTTAGCTGCCATGTGGGTGCTGGGATTCGAACTCGGGTCTTCTGCAAGAACAACCAGTGTTCTTAACCACTGAGCCATCTCTCCAGCTCCCTGACTTTTCTATTTTTAGTTCAAGTAATTTTCTTACAAGAATTGGTGTTGTTTAACCAGCTTAAAACTTTATCTTCATAAGAAATTTAGTGTGGCTGCTATCCCATTTCACCATTTCCTGAGCTGTCTTGTCTCTGTTGTCTTTTGTAGTTTCAGGAAACCATTGTGTGGAACACACACACACACACACACACACACACACACACACAGAGAGTCTATAATAAACTCTTTAAGCCTGTTAATAATTTTCAGAGGTCTCAAATTTTTAAAAATGTTGAGCCAAGCATGGTGGTACATGCCTTTAATTCCAGCACTCAGGAGATTGAGGCTGGAGGATCTCTGAGTTCAAGGCCAGCTTGGTCTACATAGCAAGTTCCAGGCCAGCCAGGGCTATGCAGTGAGACCCTGTCTCAAAACAGCAACAACAACAACAACAAACTTGTTGGTGTATAACCTCTCATGTTTATTATGATTGTCTAGCATGGTCGTAAAATTTGAACTGCCTGGAAGTTCTTCTGAGTGGCCCATGTGCTTTTGATTTTTGACACTAGTCAAAGGCACATGGCTGTTCATGGAGGTTCTTAGAATGTTTAAACTCCCTTCTGTCAAGTTATTTTTTACTTTTACTTAGTCTAAATGTGTGCTTTCCATTTTCTGATTTGGTGTTATATATAGAACTTACATGAATAGATAAAATTACTCAAAACTTTTGCTAATAAAACTTTTGCTGTATGTTTCTTAGTCCCTAGTCCAATTCGGGTTTACATACATAGCCATTAAACATCTTTTCTGAAGAGATAGTGATCGATTCCATTTTAATTCATTGAATATCAAGACTTAAGTAAATTCTAAAGAATTTACCTTTTGTTTGAATCTGCACTATAGCCTTTCAGCCATGTGACATTTCATTTTCTGTATAAGTTTTCTAACCACGGAGAACTTGGGATCACTTAAGGCAGTGTAAACCACTGTAGGACAGCTTCTGTTGCCAGAAAATTCATACATATGTTGAACCGAAGCTGAGTCTTGGCAGTTCTTCATTTCCTGGTCCAGAATGTTCTCATTGAGTGACCCAGAAAGTTTAATCTCTCCTACAGAACAATCGATTAGTGTCCCTTAAAAGGCCTTAGAGTCAGTCGTGGTAGTGCACATCTATAATCCTAGCACTTGGGAGGCTAAGGCAGGAGAATTTTAAGTTTGATATCAACCTGGACTGTAATAGAGAGACATTCTTCCCCAACTCAAAACAAACAAAAAGTCTTAGGATGCCTTTATTACTAGTAGAGAAATTAGACTTTGTAGATAAATTCTTAGGATGCTAATTGCAAAATAAACAATGTATTTTATTTTGTAGCTATAAGTAAGATGTATTTTGTGTTTGTGTTTCTTCGTCCACAGGCAGCTGAAAAAGTTGGATGAAGATAGTTTAACCAAACAACCAGAAGAAGTGTTTGATGTCTTGGAGAAACTTGGAGAAGGGTGAGTATAGATAAAATGCAGGTGGATCATTGGGTCCCAGTTTTTTTCCTGCCCCAGTAGCTGAAGGTTATGAACTTCTTAGTGTGATAAAGCCCAAGCCTTTAGAAAGTAGGTAATGTCAGCATGACTCTTAAGTGGGAGTTAAAATTACCGCTTGAAATGCCTTTTCATGAGTCTAAGGAGAGATCTAGTGATTTCTGGTATTTTTATTTTTTTTTTATTTTCTTATGTAAACAGAAAACACTAATTAGCTTACAATTTATTTTTTAAAATTTTGTTTTTTTTTGAGAAAGGGTCTTACTGTGTAGTTTTGGCTGACCTGGAACTTGCTACGTAGACCAGGCTGGCCTTTAAACTCACAGAGATCTGCCTGCCTCTGCCTTCTGAGTGCTGGGATAAAAGGCATGTACTGCCACGCCTAACTACATTAAAAAAATTTTTTTTTTTTGGTCTTTTTGAGACAGGGTCACCTTGTAGCCCCAGCTGGCCTGGAACTCACTATGTAGACCAGGCTGGCCTTGAACTCACAGAGGTCCACCTGCCTCTGCCTCCCGAGTGCTGGGATTAAAGGTATGCGCCACCACACCTGGCAGGAATACCTTTTAAGTTTTGTTAACTTTTGAACATATAACTAAATTAATATGATTCAAAGATAGTTTATAAATATGTAAATAGATGTATCTGTATGTAAATTTTTAATCCCTTAGGAATACTTCTAATGACTGTAGTTTTTTGTGGTTTTTTTTTGAAGACGGTCCTGGGGTCAAATGCAGGGCCTTATGCATTGCTAGGCAACTGCTAGGCTGCTGACCTATCCCCTCTCCCCCGACTGTTTTGAGAGTTTAGTATTATTTATGTTTAATGTAGTTTTGTAGTAATGTAAGTGCAATCCTGGTTACATGGAATAGACTCTCATGGATTACCTCCTTGTTAAAAACATTAGTCTTTAACTTTCTGTTAGTTGGAAAAATACTCTTTGGAATGCAGCAAGAAATGAAGCAGAGAAGGGAAGGCAAATACAACACGAGCTGCGCTGCGACAGGCTGAGGCCGAAGGTTGAAGACTGCCAGTTGAAAGCGTCGGTGAAGGTGTGAGGTGGTGACAGTTGCTCTGCATCTTTACCTGCTCATTTTAGTTTTAGCTTAGTATTCTTGCTCTTTTCCTGAAGGCAGTGTACCCATGCTCCTTCATCTACCAGTGCTCAGAGGTTGTACTTGAGCTATGATACAGGCTGATGGGTATCATTACATATCTAACTTACTTTTTCCTGTTTTTAATAAAAGTATGTTCAGTGATAAGAGCATGTGCACTCAGGTGACACAGAACTGGGTGAAAAGACTATTTATTAGTTTTAGCAGATGGGCTTATATAATATTACGGAGTCTCACAGCCCTTATCTATAAAAAGTAGAGATCATAACAGTATCTTATGACATGGGGTCATGGAATGTATTGTATGGAATCATTGGGGTAAAGCACTAAGTACAGGGATTGTTACATACTAAGAGGTCAGTAAGTCTCAACTGTGATTATTTTTAAGTTGTATCCACCGAAGCATTTTTCAGGCTTTATGACAAATTAAAATTAAATCTTAACTCTTAAGTGTCATTATAAGGACCCTTGCTTGGCTTGATTTGATTTAGGAAATGTCAAAACTATAGGCAGAATATTTCAGGAATATAATGTGAGAAAAAACCAAGCTAATTGTGGTTTTCTAAAAAATTGTGTTTTAGATATGGATGTCTTCAGCAAAAGACGTGGACATTTCCCTCAGAGATGTCATCAGGGAAGGAAGGAAGGCTTTGGAGCCTCTCTCATACTGTCATCTTGAATTTTTAAAGACAACACAGATAACTTGGGTTTCTGTCATCCTGAGTTCATGAACCTGAGCAAGTTTCATGGAACTAGCATGATCCTGAAGGAAAAGCTTAACTGCAGTTCTCTGATACACAGTGCCATGCCATCGTCACATGTTTAGAGTGAATGGATTGTGATTTCTCAATGACCGGTGGCTTGTTTTCAAAATGAGCTGAAGCACTACTGGATTCTGGAGCTGCAGTGTGCTGTCTGTGGAGGAAGTCATGCGGATCTGTGGCAGAGTGGAGTCACCGCTTGAATCGAGAAGAGGAGAAGAGTGGAGAACATGTCGAGTGTTTGGAATGGGAACCTAGCACCTTTCCTTTGTTACACTTGAAGTTATACACATCGACTCATTCCAGTTTTTCTTTTTGCAGTACTAGGGTCTCATGTACTCTAGGCAAGTGCTCTACCACCGAGCTATTTTTATCATAAGGTAGTAATAAATTATACCCATGGTTTCTTAGCCAATGAGTGTGATTGACAAGGAAGACTTGTACTCAGGCTGGCCTCAGATGCCGTATTATTTCCTTTTTCTGTATCCTTGCCTTCACGGCTTGTTTGAAACACCACCTTCATTATGCTTATTTTCTCCAGTTACAATTTATTGAATCATTTAGTTTACATTGTAGGGACTCAGGTCTCATGGGGCTTGCCTGTATGTGGGTGTCTTATTTTTCTCATTGTTGTGATGAAATACTTGACAAAGGCAACTGAAGGAAGGAAGGAAGGAAGGAAGGCTATATTTCTTCTCATTGTTGGAGAGGATACAGCCCAATGTGGTGGCAGGACTGGCTTGCAGCTGTAGCAGTGGGAGCATGAGGTAGCTGGAGGACTAGGAAGCAGGGTTCTGGCTAGGCACAAGAAGGTCACCCCTCATCAACCCACTTCTCCAGTCAGGAGCTACCTCATAAAGGTTCCACAGCTTCCCAAAGCAGTGCCACCAGCTGCTAAGTGTTGAGACCAAAGAGCCTGTGGGGGCATGACATTCAACTGAATAACATGATTGCTGAGGCCTTAAGTCTAGATAATGATCCATGTAGTATGTGGGATCATGAAGCTTTGTTCATTGTTCATGTGATCTGCTAGAGTTTTCTTTGCTATCAGGATAGCATAGGGAAGTATGGATATTGTGTTGGTCATGATTGCTGAATGAATCCTTTTGGAGGCCTTGCTTTTCTATTTGTACTACATAAGAACAATGAATAAGGGCAGGTGTGGTAGTGCACACCTTTAACCTCAGCACTCAGGAGGCAGAGGCAGGCAGATCTCTGACATCCAGGCCAACCTGGTCTACATAGAGAATTCCAGGCCAGATGAAGCCAAAGGGAGACCCTGTCTCAAAAAAACAAAAAAGGAATAATAATAAATAAAAATTTTGTTAAATATTTAGTCTCAGGGCTAAGGACATAGTAAAGTGCCAGAAGACCTGAAGTCTGATCTTCAGAAGCCGTGTTAAAACAAGCCAAGCCTGGTGGCATGCACTTGTAATCCCAGTGCTGGGGAAGGCAGAGACAGGCAGATCCCTGGGGCTTGGTCAGATGTGGCCTATTTGGTGAGTTAATAGCACTTCGTTTAATTCCAGGGCTACATGATGAGACCATGTCTCTCTGGCATGGGTCCAGAGCTGGACTGTGGGCTAAAACCTCTGAAACCATGAGCTGAAACAGTTCATCCTCTAAGTTGCTGACATCAAGTATTTTGCCACAGCCACTAAAAGCTTGACTAATAAATACAGTATTTGTTTGAAATTTCCAAAACATTGAAAGGAGAGAATAACATCCTTGAAATAACATCAGATTATTTATATGACCAGCGAGCTCAGTGAAAAAATTAAAGTTTAGGAATCTCACATTTCAATGACATTGAAAACTATAATTGCAGTTTAAAAGCCCAATAATTAGATAAAGGTAAGCTAGACAAGCTAAAAAGGATGTGCTAATTAAAAGAAAGAAATGAGACTAATTACAAAGTGGAGGACAACTGTAGTGTTGGGAGATGGCGTAGGTTGAGTGGTTCAGCGAAGGTTCAGCAAGGACTCTGGAAGATGAAATTAGAAGACAGATGAAATAAAGAGAAGTTGGAGAAGTTTCATACACAAAAGATTTCCTACTGAGCCCTCGGAAGGAAGACACGACGTGCCAAACAAATCAACTCCTAGTTATTCGGAAATTGTGGAGTGCTAAAACATGGAGCGTTCTGGAGAGACTATGAAGAATGTGACTCTAATAAGACTTCTCAGCAACAATAGATGCTAGGAAACTGCAGTGTACGTGCTGAGGGAAAGAATTCTGCATCCAACAAAACTCATCCAGCATGAAGCTGAAACATATTTTTCCATGTGTGAGATCTAGTGTATAAACAGTGCTTTTGGTTGGGAGTAACAGTGTAGTTGCTAACAATGACTAATCTGTAAAGGCTGTTAGTAACAGACTAACAAGTTTTAGGGTAGGTTCTAGAAAGGATGACTTGATAATGGTTTGGTCTGGATGGTTGTCATAGTCACAGGATGTTTATATTGCTTTTCAAGCATCTTTGCTTGTGACTGTAACCAAAGCAAGAAACCAGTGGCAAGTGACAGTAGATAGCCCTTGTTTGCTTGTCTCACCTGGGAAGCAAATCTGCCAGAAACCTTCAGAATTCCAGTCACATAGTTCAGAACTAGAATAGATGCTTGCTGCCAGTTCAGCCAGTGGCTGGCCTCCCTGTCATGATTTATCCCTCAGAATCAACATAATGCTCTCCCAATTCAGGGCTATTTTAGCAAGCAAGAAAGGATGGTGCCTGGGCCTTCCACACACCCAGCAGTCCGTTCTGTGGTAAAACGTTATTTGATGCCGTATCGAAGCATCTTTTTATTAGTTTTTTAAAATTTTTTTTTTTAAAGTTTGATGAATTATTTTGTTATTTTATGTTTCTGTGTCTTTCCTGTTTGTATGTAAGTGTACCATGTGGGTATCTGTTGCCTGTGGAGCCAGAAAAGGGCCTTGGATCCCCTGGAACTGGCGTTACAGAACGTTGTGAGCAACCACATGGATTCTGGGAACCAAACTGGGGTCTGCTTCAAGAACAAGTGCTCTTAACCATGGAGCCATCTCTCCAGCCCCTTTTTACTAGCCTTTAAGTAGAATGGATTCTAATAGAACTTTTTATGTGTTCTGCATACATAGATTTTCAAATGTTTTACCCATTTTGACATTGAAATAATTTCTTAGCATCTTTTTGGCAGCTAGAATATTCTGTTATTTTGATATCTCATGTCATACTTGTGATTTTCTTTTCACCAAGAAAATATGCAGAAAAGGTGTATTTTGGAGATTTGAAAGGTGATTTTTTCATTATTTCACTGAGAGCTGTCCATGATTCTAATAATGGAAAATATATATATATAAAAGATTCTGGTGGTAACATGCTTGAGCATCATAACTGCCTTGTAAGGCAGTTTGTATCTTTTGTCATTCTGTGGATGAGAAAATTGAGGTGTAAGACAGCTAATTATAATATGTAATAGCTAGTGAGTTGTGGTGGTAGGACTCACTCTTCTATCTTGAGATTCTAAATGTAATGTTCTTGTAGCACACAAGTTGAATGAACATAAACTTTATTTTTTGATAATAAGCTTATCAGGAGATGTGAAATAGAAGATTTGTGTATGCACTGTTCATCTGATATCAGCATGAAAGAAGCTTAGATTTTAATTAGTTTCCATAATATTTTAAGCATAGCAAGTAAGGTGAGAAAGGACAGAAAGACCTGTGGTAGCAGAGTGGCTGCGAGAAAACACAAAGCTTCTGTGTTGTACCTGGTGTAGGTGTGGGGAGAGAGCAAGCATTGCACTCAGACCACAGAGCTTCAGATCATATACTGATCATGTGTTTGACTTTGGGTAATTCATGTCACCTCTCTGAAATGTTTTAACATTTACTTGTGAAACAATCGCTTTATTTTAAAAAAGAATAAGCTGTGATGTACAGTTTATAGCAACCATCAGGGACACAGTGCATGGAAAATATTGTTTGGCAATAATGCATGAGGTCAGCTGTGATTTCTCTTTGGGTGTGTGGTGCTAGGGATCAAACCCAGGGTCTTGTACATGCTAGACAAGTGTTCTACCACTGAGCTGCACTGTAATCCCTACATGTGAGGTTTTAAGGTTCCATCTTCTCCCCCAAGTACTTTAGTTCTCTTAGTTTTCAAATGTAGCCACGCTTATATGGAGTAGGCGCTTAGGAATATGCAGTAGAGCGAGTTGCTTGTATTATACCCATTCCTAATCTTGGTCTGCTTTGGTTTTATTAATGTTCTCTTTCCCCCAATTGCAGGTCCTATGGCAGTGTATACAAAGCTATTCATAAAGAGACTGGCCAGATTGTTGCTATTAAGCAAGTTCCTGTGGAATCAGACCTGCAGGAGATAATAAAAGAAATTTCAATAATGCAGCAGTGTGACAGGTAAAAACATGTGGCTTTCTTTGGACAGAACCTGGTTTGAGGGTTGCTGTGATATTTTGATTATTCAAAACTTACAGATTGATTTATGAAACATTTTGCAGAAAAAAAGAGGTCAATAGAATCATACATTTTTTTTCCCTCTGAAAATACGATGAAAATGCTTGTATTTTTTTTTTTTTTCTTTATCAGTTAGCTCTTAGAAACTAGAAAGAAGAGGCAGGTGGTACTGACTTTTTTTTTCCTTTGATAATGATCTCTTTTACTTCCTATTGAGAACCCCTTTCTGTGGAGATAACTAAGACAAATTTAAATGTTTTTAGCTCTAGAAATCATAGAATATTAGATTGATCTATATAAAGAATATTTGTTTAGGTATTACTATTCCTTCTTTCACCTTACAATTTTTTTCAAGCTGGGAGTGTTGAAATATTTTTTTGAGGAACTAAGATTTGTCAAATGCTGTAAGCAGGAAGTTGGCCCAGAAGTCGACCACAGAAAAGCACGTGGTTTGCTGTGAAGTTCCATGACAATGGGGGTTGGTCACTGGTGGACCAGCACTGTTTTGATAGGAGGGAGCAGTGAAGGGCAGGGCTAAGTCTAGGGAGTTAAGTGGGGCAAGTTTTGCACTTGAGGCTGCAGTCTTCCTTCTGAGGCTGTTTTGGTCAAATCAGTTTCTTGCTCCAATAGAGTAAGTGAGGGAGATTGATTTTCTTAGTTATTTTGCAGGAAATCTGAAGTCTTACTGACTTTGAAATAACAGTAATTGGGTGCCTGGAGAGATAGCTCAGCGGTTAAGAACACTGGTTGTTCTTGCAGAAGACCTGAGTTCTAATCCCAGCACCCACATGGCAGTTAACTGTCCATAACTCCAGTTCCAGGGGATCCGACAGCCTCTTCTGACCTCCTCGGGCATTGCACAGCACGAGTGCACTTACCTACATGCAGGCAATACATGCATACACATAAAATGAAAAAAAAAAAAAAACCCACAGGAATTGCTCTTCCCTCCCTCCCCTCCCCTCCCCTTTTTTCCTTTTCATGGTTATTATCTACTATACAAAACCTCCATTTTTCCTGACGAGATTGGCTAGAATTAAGCTAGCAGTTTTTTATTTTCTTTTTGTTTTTTGGTCTTTTAAAGACGGTCTCCCAGTAGCCTCAGCTGGCCTGGAACTCACCACCATGACTGGCAGTTTTTTTCTTTTTTAAAGATAGGGTTTCACCCTGTAGCCCTGGCTGGCCTCAGACTCATAGAGATCCGCCAAGCTCTGCTTCTCCGGTGCTGGGTCTAAAGGCGTGCGCCACCATGCCTGGTGATTTAGCAGTTTTTCTTTTCCTCTGTATCATCACTTAAGAAAATTCTTTCTAGCTGGGCGTGGTGGCACATGCCTTTAATCCCAGTACTCGGGAGGCAGAAGCAGGTAGATCTCTGTTTGAGTTTGAGGCCAGCCTGTTCTATATAGCAAGTTCCAAGCTGGCTGTGGCCACAGGGAAACCCTGTCTCTAAAAAAAGAAAAGGAAAGGGACGAAAAAAAAGAAAAACAAGACCTCTTTTTAATTGGCAAATTGGGACTTTATCCAAACAGTAGAGAAATAGTTCTAGCTAAGGAAGAAATATTTTGAAGAGCTTACTCTTTTTTAAGTCTTCTAAGGAAGACAAAGAACAGAGTCCTTGTGCTTTGTGAGTTTTGCTTTATTTTCACATCATTGTCCTTTGAGTGTGGGGTAGGCTTGGGGGACATTTGCTTTGTTTACTAGAAGCAGCAACTGGGATAAGAATCTTAATGTTCTCCTTCCACTTTCTGGGAGTTTATAGGCCAGGCATATGTATGAACAGGAAATGTAGCTGACAGTACAAGACTGGATGGAATATGTCCAACAGTGTGCACTGGACTGTGAAGTAGTTATTCATAGGCTGTAAATGAGGAGTGGGTGAGAGCACAAGGGGGATGCTGAGTCTTAGGGACTCTGTTATCTGTTGTTTTTGTTAATTTTATGTGGTGTTTCTCTTTTGTTGCTGCTTGACTGTATCCCAAGGATGAAGGGCTGTTTGAAATTGAGTGTCAATGAAATCAGGGTGGTTTTAGCAGCTTTGGTTGCTATGCAGCCATGTCTGGTAATGATCCAGCATCCCTAATGCTAGTTGTCAGAGGTCAGATTATTCCATTTACTGGGATGCTGGACTTCTGAGATATTTCTTATTTGGTATCTCCAAATTGAAGACCAGATTCAATCCTGAATATTTTTTCTTTATATTAGTTAGTGATGTCATTTTTTTGTTCTTGTTGCCAACCAAGTATAATATGACATTTTAGAAAAAAAGGACATAAAAAGATGGAAGTAAGATCACACAACCATCATTGCTAAATGTTCCTTGATACACATCTTTCCTGGTCTCTTCGAGGAATCTTATTGTGGTTACTATTTTACAAACTGTATATTCTTTTTTTTTTTTTTTGGTGTTTTTGAGACAGGGGCTCCCTGTAGCTCCAGCTCCAGCTGTCCTAGAACTTACTGTGTAGACCAGGCTGGCCTTGAACTCACAGAGAGCCACCTGCCTCTGCCTCTGCCTCTGCTTCCCCAGTGCTGGGACTAAAGGCGTGCACCACCATGTCCAGCCTACAAACTATATTCTTACACATCAGATATTCCTCTAACATTATTCATGGGCTCATGGTGTTTCACGTATGGGTGTCTCATCGTACTGGGAAGTCATTGAAATGGTATTTCTTATCTGTGATTCATTTCTTTTCTGAGGATAAATTGTATGCTTAGAAATGCATTGTACCCAGCTGGGCGTGGTAGTGCATGCCTTTGATCCCAGCACTTGGGAGGCAGAGACAGGTGGATCTCTGTGAGTTCATCAAGGCCAGCCTGGTCTACATAATGAGTTCTACTCCAGCTGGGATAACAGGGAGACCCTGTCTCAAAAAAAAAAAAAAAGAAAAGTAATGCATTGTACCCATTTTTTTATACTTCTGTTACTACATATAAGAAAAGTTATCTCATTTCATGTTTTTATCAGGAGACTGCTTATGTTAGCCCTAGCTAGAAATAATTCATCTTTTGGTATGAGAAGTTAGTTTTCACACACTTAACAGAATGCACTGAGATACTTGAAGACTGTTCTCTGCTAACTGGTGTTGTGTCTCTCTCCAGCCCTCACGTAGTCAAATACTATGGCAGCTATTTTAAGAACACAGACTTGTGGATTGTTATGGAATACTGCGGGGCTGGGTCTGTGTCTGATATCATTCGGTTACGAAATAAGACGGTAAGTGTACCCTCCAGAAGAGTGCTGCTCAGCCGGCGTGTTTATGCCATCTTTTCTCTGGCTTCTGTTCATGTGCTCCTTCTGCTACCATCTTTAGAGAAGTGACTGTCAAATGTCTCCTTTTCCTTGGTTCTTTGCTCTTCTTTAACGCCCCCCACATCCCCAAAAAAGGGACAGGATCTTACTATGAACCCAGACTGGTCTCCAACTTGCTATTTAGTCCAGGCTGGCCTTTTACTTTCAATCCTTTGCCTCACCAAGTGCTAGGATTGCAGGAGTGTGGTTCTATGTTCAGTTTTCCTGTTTGCCCTCCTAGATGTGACAGTTTTGTCATCAGCTCATTTCAGTGATTGTTTGAACATTTTTCATATTAGGGGGTAACAGTGATTATCAAGTGAATTTTAATTACTTTTTGCTTTTTGAGACAGGGTCTCATAGTGCAGGCTAACCTGGAACCATCTGTGTAGCCCGTTAGCCTTGTGTTCAGAATCCTTCTGTCTCATTCTTCTTACTATCCCCAGATATTATAGAATGAATTTTAAATGTTTAATTTTGAATTTTAATTTTCCTCCTACCCAGTATGTTCACAGAGTAATTTTTATTTGCTGTTAAACAGAATAATCCCATTATAAGGAGTATTTGTTATTACTGTGATTACTGGATAGGACCTAATAGACATGGGTTCTAATTCTGTTTCAGTTGCTTAAACAAAGTTTAATCTTTTTGGCCTTTTTGAGTCAGGAGCTCCCTATAGCCCTAGCTGGCCTGGAACTCAATGGATCCACATGCCTCTGCCTCCCAAGTGCTAGAATTAAAGGCGTGTGCCACCACGCCTGGATTTGTTATACATTTTAACTGTCCAATAGGACAGCCACTGACCAAGAGGACTTACAGTGTGTCTTTTGTGAATTAGGGTGCATAATATCTTCTGTACATATAAATACACTCTTGAGTTTGAGGAATTATTACTAAAGAAATATAAAAATCTTTAATTTCTAGCCGGGCGTGGTAGCGCACCCTTTAATCCCAGCACTTGGGAGGCAGAGACAGGCAGATCTTTGTGAGTTTGAGGCCAGCCTGGTCTACATAGTGAGTTCCAGGACAGCTGGGGCTACAGAGAGACCCTGTCTCAAAAAGACTAAAAAAAAAAAAAAAAATCTTTAATTTCTCGGGGCTGGAGAGAAGGCTCAGCCGTTAAGAACACTGGTTGTTCTTGCAGAAGACATGGGTTCGAATCCCAGCACCCACATGGCAGTTAAAAACTGTCTGTAACTCCAGTTCCAGGGGATCCGACAGCCTCTTCTGTCCTCCGCAGGAAGTGTACGACACGGGTGCACTTACCTACCTGCAGGCAATACATGCATACACATAAAATAAAAATAATAAATAAAATATTTAAAATCATGCCGGGCGTGGTGGTGCACACCTTTAATCCCAGCACTCGGCAGAGGCAGGCGGATCTCTGCCACTTCAAGGCCAGCCTGGTCTACATAGTGAGTTCCAGGACAGCTGGGGCTACAGGGAGACCATGTCTCAAAAAGACCAAAAAAACATATATATAAGTCTTTTACTTCTTAAATGTTGATCACATGGTAAATGATACTATATTAAGTGTGGTAACCCAGCCTTGGAAGGTCAAACACCGCATGTTCTCGCTCCTGTGCAGATCTTAGGTTATTTTTGTATATGCATATCCATGGAGGGGGTAGATGCCAGGAAACTGGAAAAGGGGCTATGAGAGAGAAAAGCAGTACTGTCAGCAGAAAATTACCCTATAATTAAATCTCAATAAATGTTATCTATATTGCATTTAAAATCTGAAATGGTCATATTAATTGGATCAGCATCTGACCATTTATGAGATATTTTAAATTCTAATTATGTTTTGTTCGGAATTGCTTTCAAATTTACTTCCATATGCATTTCTTCTTCTGATTAGTAGTACTGCTAAAACGTTGTGGTATTATGCTTTTGTACATTTCCATACAGCATTGAGTTTCATTTTAAATTTTATTTTGATGCCTTTCATAGTCTTTATTAGTTCTCATATAAATTACTTTCTTTTATTTTGTTAGAGTTTATGCCAGTACAGGTTGGAGCTGGGTATGGTGGCACAGGCCTTTAATCCCAGCACTGGGGAGGAAGAGGCAGGCAGATCTCTGTGAGATCACGGCCAGCCTGGTCTACATAGCCATGCCAGTTGGGGCTACAGAGAGGTCTTGTCACAAGTAAAACAAAACAAAACAAAACAAAAAGTACAGGTTGGATCGTTCTAATCCAGAATCCTTTCCTTTAGATTCATTGCATACTTCTTCGGAATATGAGCTGTTTGTCATACCAGGAACTGTGTGAGACTTTGTTGATGGATTGTGTTTAGGGCTTGGGTCTAATCTTCGGTCAACATGCAGTCAGGTCAGATGTTATGTACCCGTCTTCAGCATTCTGAGTTTTATTTAGTCATGGTCATGCAGTTGTTATTTTGTCAGTACCCACTATGTGTCAGTGGCTTTACTGATGCTAGGGATACAAAAGCAAGCAAGTCAAAGTTAATTCGGAAGACAACATACAAACAGGCAGTCAAATACTGCATAGTGTGTCAGACTGTCGCTACGCTGACTAGGTGAGATAGTGAGCTAGAGAGTGATCTAGCAACCCAGTAGGAAAAGCCTCTGCTTTTCTGATGAGACACCTGGGCAGAATGTGAGGAAGCAGACAGCACTGCTCTACCGATGAAGAGCAGTGTAGGCAAAGGATGGGCAGGGGAAAGGAACCAGAAGGACGCGTGCTTGCAGGGAGCAGCAAGGGGACCAGGGCACTGGGACGGAGCCCCGAGGACCGTTTGGGTGTGACTTAATGTGTGATGAAATAGAATTTCAACTTACTGTTGTTTTTTTTTTCCAGTTAACAGAAGATGAAATAGCTACAATATTACAGTCGACTCTTAAAGGATTAGAGTACCTTCATTTTATGAGAAAAATACACCGAGATATCAAGGCAGGAAATATTTTGCTAAATACAGAAGGGCATGCAAAACTTGCAGATTTTGGAGTAGCAGGTCAACTTACAGTGAGTAGAAATGCTAACTTGTGTTGACACTGGCTCTGTCCTGATTAAAGGCAGTGCCTCTGCCCCTGGCTTACCTTCTTAACTTCTGGTGTTATCCTGTTTCTTTCCATTCTTCTGCTTCTGGTGTTACATCTAAGAAGACGTTACCACATGGAGATCTTCCACGTCCTACAGGTTTAGCTCTTCCGTTTATGTTTGTGATATGTTTAGAGTTTGTTTTCATGATGTGAGATAGATGCCCGGATTCTTTTGTGTGTTGGTAACTGGCTATGGACCAATTATTTCAATCATTTGTTGAAGACACTTTAATTTCTCTTTTGTTGATCTGTATATTGGTACTTGCTGAAAGTGCATAGATGGCAAATGTGTGGCTTTATTTCTGGGTTTTCAGTTGTGTTCTGGTGGCCTTCCTCATCACCTTGTCCAGTGTTCTGCTGTACTGAGCATAGCTTTGTAGAAAGTTTTGACATGGGTTAAATGTGAGACCTTCAACTTTGTTCTTGTCTTTCAAGATTGTTTTGGCTCTTCTAGGATCCTTACATTTCTGTGTGAATTTTAGGATTAGTGGGGCAGTTTTGTAAATGTTATCATTGGGATTTTTGATAGATGTTGCAAAAATCTATCAAAAATAGATCAAATCCTAAATCAATTTGAATATATTACTATCTTAATGTTAACCCTTCTACTCTGTGAAACCAAGGTGCCCTTTCATTTGTTTAATCTTTTATTTTTTCAGCAGTATTTTATAATTTACAATGTACAATTTTTTGTGTTAATTTGGTTAAATTCATTCCTAAGTGGTTTATTCTCTTTGATTCCGTTTTTTTTCTTTTTTTTTTCCAGTCTTTTTGAGACAGTCTCCCTGTAGCCCCAGCTCGCTTGAAACTCGCTGTGTAGACCAGGTTTGCCTTAAACTTACAGAGATCCTCTGGTCTCTGCCTTCCAAGTGCTGGAATTAAAGGTGTGGGCCACTACACACAGCACTTTGGTGCTGTTTTAAGTAGAATGTTTTAATTCTTATTATATAGGAGTACAATAGATTTTTATATATTGTTTGGCAACTTTGCTGAACTTGTTTACTACTTTTAAAAATATTTAATTAAAAAAATTTGTGTGTATGTGTATATGATATGTATGTGTGCATGCATCTGTGTATGGAAGTGTAGTGTGGGTGCCTGTGTGCCGTGGTGTGCATGTGGGGGTCAGAGAGTAACCACTAGTGTCAGTCTTTGTCTTCCATCTTGGGTGAGACGGGGTTCTTTGTTGTTGACTGCTGTGGAACTTGGGACTCTCCTGTCTGTACCTTCCATGCCCTGTAGGAGCATGGAGATTACAGATGTGCTACCAAGCCTAGTGCTTTCTGGGTTCTGAGGATCTGAACTAGGGTCCTCAGGCTTGCATGGCAGATCTTCTACCCACTGAGCCATCTCCCCAGCTCCTACAGCTTCTTTTACCCACAACACTTTTATAGTGAAATGTATTATTTTACAAAAAAAACCATATTTTTTTCTTGACTAAAAGTGAGACCATAGTCTAGAAAATGAGCTGGCCGGGCTCCTAGTACGCCTAGGTTCAGGGTCCTCTCTAACTTGCATCTGTTTTTTTTTGTTTTTTTTAAAAATTTTTCTATTATTATTTTTATTGTTATTATTATTATTATTATTATTATTATTTTTGAATCCTTTGAAGCAGGGTCTCCCTGTAGCCCCAGCTGTCCTGGAACTCACTATGTAGACCAGGCTGGCCTTGAATTCACAGAGATTTGCCTGCCTCTACCTCCCAAGTGCTGGGCCTATAGGTGTGCGCCACCACGCCCAGCTTTTCTATTATTTTTATTTTATGTGTACGAGTGTATTGCCTTCGTGAGTGCACCTGTGTTGTACAGTGCCGTGGAGGTCAGTAGAGGGCTTCGGATTCCCTTGGAACTGGAGTTAAGGATGGTATGTAGCTGCCATGTGGGTGCTGGGAATCAAACCCGGGTCTTCTGCAGGAGCAGTCAGTGCTCTTAACCGCTGAGCCATCTCTCTAGCCCCTCTAACTTGCCTCTTATCTGGAGACTGGAGAACCTGTTGGCCACCTTCTGTGGTGGTGGTGGTGGGATTATTTCACAGTTTAGTATTCCTGATTGACCGTGCCACCCACACACCGTTGTCCAGGGGGCCTATCTCCCTTTCTAGAGACTACATGTCCAGTGTAATGCAGAGTAGGCAAAGGAAGCCCTGTGACTTGATGTGAGATGCTTCATTTTATTTTTTATGAGCTGGGGTTTTGCAGTACAGCCTAGGCTGGCTTGGAACTCTTGATCCTCTTGCTTCAGTCTCCTGAGTACTGGGATTAGATGTCTGTGCCAAGATGCCTGGCTCTCAAATGCTTCTTAGGAATTTTTCCAGTATTATGTTTTGAGGTCCACGTTCACCATTTTTTTTCTCAGTACCCAGTACCAGCAGTTCTAAGCCATTTAGAAGGGTTTATGTTGAAACGAGGGTTTTCGTTTCTCAGTGACTGGCTCAGGAGTCCATTTGATCATCTGTTCATTTTGTTACCATCCAGCCAACCTTCCAGATTGCAAAATTCTGTGGCTTTGCTTTGTATTTTATTCTTATATATTTATTCTCTGCAGTTTCTTTTTTGTCTTTGGAGATAGTCTTCTGAACTCATGATCCCCCTGTTTCAGCTTCTTCTAGCTAGTAGCACATGACGGTTTTAGACACAGCTTCTGATGGCAGCTTGGGCACTTCATTGTGAATGCACCATCAGTTATTGAGTTCCCCCATCACTGGATGTTTGGTACCCACTGAAGTTGCTTTTTAAGTTTTCCCAGCATCACAAACTCATTCTGTGGTAAAGAATCTTACACCTGAGGGTTATTTTTTTTTTTTTAAGTGTTTCTTTGAATATGCCCTGAGGATAATAATGTCTTTACTTTGAAATCTGGGTCAAAATTCTTTGGAAAATTTGTCTTTTGATGCATATTGCTGAAGGGAATAATATGTTTATAACTATAGTGTATAAACATACTAATTTCTTCCTCATTGCCAATATTGAGTGGCCATTAAATTACATATTCCTTACAGTTTTCTTTTTTAAAACATAGTTTATTTTTATTTCATGTGTATGAGTATATTGTTTGCATGTATGCAAGTGCACCTGTGTCATGTACTGCCCATGGATGTCAGAAGAGGGCATTGGATCCCCTGGAACTGGAATTACGGATGGTTGTTAGCTGCCTTGTCGGTGCTGGGAATCGAAGCCAGGTCCTCTGCAAGAACAGCGAGTGCTCTTAACCTCTGAGCCATCTCTCCAGCTTCATCCTTACAATTTTCAATGAAATGAAGATATTTTAATATTTATTGGGCATTTACAAATATTCTTTCATAAACAAATTGTTCATCTGATCTGTCAACAATTTTTCTAATTGTTTGGCCTGCCTTCCCTCCCTCCCTCCCTCCCTCCCTCCCTCCCTCCTTCCCTCCTTCCTCTTTCTCCCCTCCCCTCTGCTCCCCTCCTGGGACTCCCCTCCTTTTTTAGAGGCATAGTCTCCAGGTTGGCCTGGAATTCATTGTGTAGTCTGGTCTTGAAATTGTGGTGTTCTCCTGTCCTCTTGTCTCAGCCTCTGAGAATGCTGGGATTACAAGTTTGAGCCATAGCGCAGTTAAAAATGTACTTGTTGGGCCCACAAAATGGTTCAGCTGACCTCCTGAGTTCCAATCTAGAACCCATGTAGAAAGAGAGGACTGACTCCTGCCCTTTGTTCTCTGATGTGTGTGTGTGTGTGTCTCTCTCTCACACACACACATCATAGACACACATTAATACATAAAAAAGTAGAAGTTTCAAAATCTAATTTCCAAGAGTTTTTTTTTTATTGTGTATGTGTTTTCCACATATGCTTGCCTGCTGCCCACTGAGTCCAGCAGAGAGTGCTGAATCTCCTGGAAGTGGAGTTACAGGCAGTTGTGAGCCACTGGGGTGGGTGTTAGGAACCAAACCAGCAGCAAGTGTTCTAACTGCTGGGCTGTCTCTCTAGCCCCATAGTTTTAAATTTTTATGTAAAGAAATCCATCTCTCTTTTAGGATTTTTGTGTTTGTGCCATACTTAAAATCTGGGTGTGGTGGCGCACGCTTTTAATCCTAGCACGCACTCAGGTGGCAGAGGCAGAGGCAGAGGCAGATGAATCTCTGTGAATTCAAGTCCAGCCTGGTTTACGTAGGGAGTTCCAAGCTAGCTGGGGCTACAGGAAGACCCTGTCTCAAAAAAGACAAAAGAAAAGGACTTTTTCTGTTCCAACATTACATAGCTATCCGTCTGTACTTTTTCAGTGCTCTTTTGTTTTCATTTCTATTTTATGTTTATGTGTGTTTTGCCTTCATGTATGTAAGTGTACCCGTGTCGTGCAATGCCCGTGGAGGACAAAAGAGGACGTTGGATCCCCGAGAACTAGCGTTACAGACAGTTGTTAGCTATCATGTGGGTGCTTGGATTCGAACCCCGGTCTTCAAGAACAGCCAGGGTTCTTAACCACTGAACCATCTCTCCAACCCTGGGTTTTGTTTTTGATGTTTAAATTTTTAACTTACTTGAACTTATTTTGGTGAAAGTATAAAGTAGGGATTTATGTATACCGTTCTACAGATGACTAGCCAGGTGTTCAGTGTTTTGTTTCTTTTTGCTTCCTTTGTCCTCTGCTTACTGATTTGAAAGACCATTTTGACCTATTACCTCTCTACATGTGGCTTATATACCAGACTGTTTTTTGTGTATGTGTGCATATATATGTATTTGTGTATGTGTGTGTGTGTGTCAAGTTTCTTTATGGATCTAATATTTTCTGTTCCTCTCTTGTACTTAACTTTGTAACACAGATCTAGTTGGAGATTAGTATCCACTTCTTAATTTTCAGAACATTTCTAACTAGCTGAGTATCCATTTCTAGTTGAAATAATCTAGTGAAAACAACTTTGAGTATCACCGTATGAAAATACCCTGCAAAATTGAAGCTTCAGAGCTAAGGAAATGACTAAGTAGCAAGTTATTTCCTGTGTTGATTTCTTTATATAGGACGGACAGTATGAGATCAGTTCAGGAGAGCTACCTGTCATTTGCTCCTGACCGGCATAACCTGAGTCACAGATGTTTCAAAGACATTTGAGTGATAATGATGGAGGTCCTTTTGTATCTTTACTTCTTTTGAAGCTCCCTCTTCCTAAGGAGTATCAGTTGTAGCAAGGCTCTTTTACAGTAGGGCCATTCCATTGTGAGAAAATGGGCAAGTAGTTATTTGTGCGGTGTGTGCTGTAGTTATATCTTCTTCAGGCCACAAGTAAAACTTTTATAATTTTTAAAAAAATATTTTATTTATTATTTTTATTTTATGTGTATGCATGTACTGCCTGCATGTAGATAAGTGCATCCGTGTCATGCAGTGCCCGCAGAAGACAGAAGAGGCTGTCGGATCCCCTGGAACTGGAGTTATGGACAGTTGTTAGCTGCCATGTGGGTGCTGGGATTCAAACCCTGGTCTTCTGCAAAAACAGTCAGTGTTCTTAACCTCTGAGCCATCTCTCCAGCCTCTGAAACTTTTATAATTTTTTTATATCTAAGCTTTAAAATATTTTTGCTTGTACTGGGGAACATCTGGGGACACTGGCTTGACACAATGGGCTTTAATACAGCTGACAGAGTATATGGGTTCCAGTGGGGGTGCTCCGGGAGGGTGCTGGTGGGATGAGGGTATAAAGATGATTAAGATTGTTTGAGATATTCTGTATAAAATACACAAAAACTCAATAAAAACAAATTAAAAATATTTTTCTTAATTGTACATGTAAACCATGGGAATGTTAGATAAATATGTAGGACAGAAAAGAAAGGAGGAATTCTGCCTTCTAGACACAACTGTTAATTGAGTCTGTCACTCCAGGCTTCTCTTCTGCTACACTGTGATACTTCTATTATTATTGTTATGATTATTATATGTATTTTGTTTTCACAGAACAAAGCTGTATTGCATGTATTATTTTGTAACCTAATTTTTTTTGCTTCACAATAGTCTACACGTTTTTCCATACAATAAAAGATTTGTTTTTTATTTATTTTATTATTTTGTTGTTGTTTTGGTCTTTTTGAGACAGGGTTTTCCTATAGCCCCAGCTGGCTTGGAACTCACTATGTAGACCAGGCTGGCCATGATCTCACAGAGATCCAACTGCTTCTGCCTCCTGAGTGCTGGGATTAAAGGTGTGCACCACCACACCAGGCTTCTCAGTAGTTTTAAGTTTTTATGTTGGTCTCTCTTCTATTTTAGGATACCATGGCCAAGAGGAATACAGTGATAGGAACTCCATTCTGGATGGCTCCTGAAGTTATTCAGGAAATCGGGTACAACTGTGTGGCAGACATCTGGTCTCTGGGAATAACTGCCATAGAAATGGCTGAAGGAAAGCCCCCGTATGCTGATATCCATCCAATGAGGGTAAGGATATAGAAAGCCAGTTAGTTATTGGTTATCATTAGAAAGGTAGTTCAGTGATTTGCCTGGTTATATTGCAAATAGGAAATGAGCTAATTGTATGTAATTGATAAATGTCACTGTGGGCATGGACTTGCCTTAGCTTTAGTAATTAATCTAAATGTCCACGCTCCCCTCCAGAGCTGTTGTTGATCACCTCCTTATAGGACATAGACTACAGACAGCTTAATTTATTTATATGTATATGCATACATACATACATACATACATACATACATACTTTTAATAGCTTAGGTATGCATATTTTAACATATCATTAACTGGAGCTGAGTAACAGTTCTTTTTTTAAAAAATATTTTGTTATTTTAATTTTATGTGTATGAGTGTATTGCCTGCATGTATGTGAGTGTACCCATGTTGTGCAGTGCCCCAGAGGTCACAAGAGGGTGTTAGATTCCCCTGGAACTGAAGTTAAGGATGGTTTGTAGCTGTAGTGTGGGTGCTGGGATTCGAACCTGGGTCCTCTGCTAGAGCAGTCAGTGTTCTTAACAGCTGAGCCATCTCTCTAGCCCCCAGTTCTTTTTAATAAATGTATGAGCTTTCTGTGTAATTGTTCTCCATGATTTCCTGATGGGTCACAAACTGTCCACTTAGTAGATACTTACTGCTTTGTTTTCTTCAATGAATTTTGAACTCATGTTACTAACATCCATCTTGATTCATTTGTTTCCTTTTTCCTGTCCATGTTCTCCTTTGTGGATTTGCGGACTTTCTATGTGGAGGATCTTTTCTCTCCAGCCTACTTTCTACATGTATTTAGAATGTTAAGGCTCACAGACTGCACCTCCTTGTGATGACACCCCAAGGAATTCCCAGTCTTTACCCACTCCCAGAACTCTTCTTCACATGACTGTTTAACACCCCGACCCTGCCTTTCCCAGGGACTCCACAGCCTTCTCTAGTTCTTCCTTTTCTCTAAATAAGACTTAAGCTGATGATTTTGGAAGCCCTTGTCAAGAAATTCCAATGGACTCTCATATGAACATTTGAAAATTGCCCTATTCTGACTTTTTTCTAGTTCTCTGTCTAGAACTTGTAATGCTAATGACTCTTGCCTTTACTTCTCTTCCATATCTCTTAGGCACCAGTCAAGGACTTTCTTTTCCCCTTAGAGATAAGAGTTATGCAGTTTGGGAGTCTTAGATAGACCCACTGAAGGGGTACTCCAATTGCCTCACCCTGCGTCCCTGTTCATCACGGAAGAAGCCAGAGCGCTCTGTGTCCCAATTCCCTATGGGCAATTTGGGTAACCCCTTCAGAGGATGGCGTGATAAGAATAGGAGGTAGGAATTGGCTGAGTAGTTAGTAGTTAGGGTAAAAAGATCCCAAAACAATGTAGCCAGTTTCTTGGCTAAAAGTCAAAATGTCCTTGGGCCTGTTAGCAACATACTCTGTTCCAAAGGCCAAAAATGTCAAAAGTATTTTGGAGCTTGTATCCAATCCTTAAAAGATTTTAGGGTTACCTCTTCAGAGGGGGATGTTAGAGTAGCCAAAAGCCCCATAAAAATAAACAAATGAAAGAAGGGAAAAAAAGAAAAAAAACGTGATGGGGAGATGTAAAAAAGCCATTTCCCCGCAAAATAGTAAGGTTTCTCAAAATCTAACCTCTAAGAACTAAAATGTATACTATATTTAAAAATTTTGAGATTATAAAAATTCACCATATTTTAAGAATCCTGTCACCTGCCAAATGACTGTGAACCTGAAAAAGCACAAACAAACCTGCCAATTGGCCCTGGTAGAAACCTTAGATTATTTATTTGGAAATTTACAATAAAGTTTTACAGCCAGTTCAAAAAGAATATGAATCTTGTTTGTTCTATAATTAATAAATAGCTCTATTATTGTGAAGATGCACCAAAGGACATTCTGTATAAAAGGGTTTGTAATGACCATTTTACATTTGTTGTGTCTTTAATGTATATAAAAAGTAAAGATATCACTTATCACCATAATTAAAACAACTGAATGGGGGGGGACTTAAGCTGTTTTTAGAAAGTACTCATCTAGTCAGCCTATCTAGAGATCTTTGTTTTAGTAGGGTCAGCTGTTCCTCATCTAGCAGCAATCGTCATTATTCCTGTAGATAAGATTGGGGTCTGCTGTTCATTTTCCCAGTTCTATGCTGGGTTACTATCTGGGAGTCCTTTGGCCACCCTGGCCAACAACTCAAAAGAAGGTATCTCCTATCTGGCATTGTTGCTTGTTATGTAGCCTTTAGCTATGCATA